CTCGCGGCAGCGAGGTGCAGAATCTTCAACCCACAGGGGCCCGTGCTTTCCACATGCCGGGTTCCACCCATGGGTCCTGGCAGGCACGGCGCAATTGCCCGTGACAGACTACATGCCTCTCTTGCACAGGACTGAGCCGTTGTTCGTGGATTTTGGCTTGTTGTCGAGGGTGGGCGCCATGAAGCCGTCGGTTCAGGGTAGACTGTGGGATGCTGTACTTTTCCGCTGCATCTTTCTGTGAACAAAGGCCTTCTTGAACCTCGGCTATAGCCAATTGAATAAGCTCTTCCCGGATAGCGGTCATGTTGATTTTGGCCCAGAAGTGGATGAGTTGTGTTGAGTTGAAGTTAAGTCATGTCTGGAATGGTGGTGTGGTGCCAGGATTCCATTGTGGGGCCGATTCCGTTGCGGGGTCCAGACGTCTAGGCTCTCGATTGGCCGGACTCAGCTAAGATTTCTACACTTCGGTCTGGATTAAACGACCACTTAAAGCGGAAGCTCGAGATCCAGATTACCGTTCCTATAAAGTATAACAACTTCGTTTGAGCCCTCCACCGACTATCTGGTCACGCAAAGTCTATTAGTTTCGCCCCAGGAGCGGCTACCTCAACTAACCACTATAACAAGATGGAGATCAGAGCAATCTCGACAATCGGAGCTATCTCGATACCGACTGTCTCGCGGAGAAACCTTGACTGGAGTTGCATCCCAGCAACTGAACTGAGTGAGGAGGATGATAAGGAGGATTGATAGACGGATTCCTAGGATGGGAAGGAGGTTGGAAGCCTCGAGGACGAGCCTTCTTTGGAGGGGGGGAATGTGACGGCACCCGCCTTCGAGGTGCACGCTTGCCGTACTCGCGCTTGCCTTGCTCGCGCGTACCCCACTTGCTCTAGCATTTGACCTCTATATCGCGAGAGCTCTTCCAGCTTCTCTTTCTTTTCTCCTCATCTTGCGATTAGCAGAATAGAGTCAGCAATTGCAGTGCCTACGCGCCTCGCCTCGATGCTACTCGTCTCTCACACTCTAGCTATTAGCTATAATTCTACTTTAATGTCTATTTCCGGGTTGAAGTTATGGTCTACGTATTGGTTAGGGCCTCGGATATCGTTGCACCTTCGTCGGCGGCTAGCGCGAAAAGTTGTAAGATTTCCTTCGTTTCCCTAGTTTTCTCATTTTCATTTCGTTCTTCCTAATCTATAACGTTATTATCTTCTTATTATATATTAGTTAGCTCTAACGTATATGATAAGCGAGCGGCGCGGACAAGCGAGCGGCGCGGACAAGCGAGCGGCGCACTGGTAAGAGCTGCATTGTGTCACGAATATGGCCGTATGCAGAAATCTGGTGGGGGCGCGAGGGGAGCGTTCCGAGCCAATCATTTAGAACAGGGGTATGGCCAATCACGACGAGAGCGCGAAGTCAAGCATTCGCTCCATGGAAGGAGCGATGGGAGCGACGAGCGCTCCCAGCGGCAGGAGCGGCAGGAGCGACAGGAGCAAACTTCGCTCCTTACGCTCCTAAGGACAGTAGGAGAGGAAGCTGTATATAGTTCACGATCCCCGGAGCCTACGGGCATCACAGTAGCTTCCTCAGTAAGCAATACAAGCAGTCAGCCATATCTACTGTTGAGACCATTGCTTGTGCACTTGTTGTGAACCCTTTGGCTTCACCGAACCTCACCCCGTTGTCACTTATAACCTTCAGGAGTCCCTTTCAGAAGTTGGGGCTTTGAGATTCGTCACACAGAGTACTTCCATATTTCTACTATAGCCTCGCTTTTGCCGACCGGCAATACTTCCAGATCCCGTAGATGCTTGGATCAGATCGGTAGAAATATCGAATCCTCTCCGGGAATGTGGGCGTGTATTGATAGACAGAGCTATGACGTACGGGATAGCCGATAATGGTAGGTTCGTTGCAGCTGAATGCCGACATTCTAATCTGATCGACGTCGTTGTTGTCACGGCGGGACAGGCGGACAATCCAATGACAATTGTATTCGGGCTAAACTACAGTCTAAGCTCCATTCCGTCAGGTACGGGCAGGCTTGATTGTCAAGACGTAGCTCGAGGAGCTACGAACAGATCTCGCGGCAGCGAGGTGCAGAATATTTAACCCACAGGGGCCCGTGCTTTCCACATGCCGGGTTCCACCCGTGGGTCCTAGCAGGCACGGCGCAATCGCCGTGACAGTTGTCATGCTTCTCGAAATCAACAAAACGGATTTTTTGGTAGGAAGCTGGGGCAAGGGCCACCACAAGATGTGCTAGACTCGGCTCTATGTCTCAACGTACGTAGCTTAATGCCCTAGGTAGGGAAGACATCAGTTCTTGGCGACCGCTGGTTTAGTGTAGAACTTACGTCAACCTGGGTCTCGAGTTCCGGGTCCGAGCTTGGGACGACAACAGACCGCCACCAGAGAGTCGGACGCTCCTGGACAGTCGGCGTCTCAGACGGCTGTATCTACCCTTCCAGGGCTAGAACAGTTGATGTACGGCTTGATGCTGGGTGTAGGTGATGTGATGCTTGGCAGGAACGGATAATCAGTACGAATTGGGACTCATATATTACCTTGCGATGTGAGAGGCGACCACACGGTGATGGATCAATCGGTCTGCTCGGGTCTTTTTTACCATGACTCGCCAAACGCTCTAGCTACCGAGACAATCAAACTGATATCCCCAGTCCTCATTATCGAGGCATGCCGCTCTCAATTGGGCGCAGACCTGATCCAAAAGTAAAAAGCGAGACCGAGATAATTGCACCGATACGACACGAACTCGTGCCGGGAGACCGAGCGGCGCGGCTCGACTACAGTCTGAAACGAGTTGAAATCCAAGAGTTGGTTTGTCGAGCCGGCGCATAACCGCATGCGTTTTGATCCGCAAGGCAGCACACGGGCAAAGTTGAGGTGCGGACAGGTCGTCGTGGGCGCTGTGTCCCACACGCTGGTTGAAGGCCCTAGGTACAGTACATAGGTTCCAGTACTCTACAAAAAGCAGCGAGATACCAAACTCTTGGTTAGACATCAGAACTGCCGAGGCCCATGATGTGGGCGTGAATCAAGTCCCTGGCCGCAAGAGCATCCTCCAGGCTGTCATGGCCCTTCTTGCCCACCTGAATGGCCCGCCCCAATCGCTTCATGACAAGCGCCTTGAGCGACATTCCATCGGGGTGTCCTTTACCACGCTTCTTAGCATCCTTCGGCCCTCCTTCGTTAGGCTTGTCCACTTCCTCCCCCTTCTTCTCCTGCCCCGCCTTCAACATTACCTCTTTCCGCATGGCTGACTCGACCATGTAAGAGTCGACCACGCGGTGGTGGATCCATCGTAAAGAGGACAGATCGTTTTGGGCACTGTGTCCGACGACAATGGTTGACGGCCCGACATAGTCAAAGAGAGCCCTCCGAGCGGCGTCCCTGCCCATGATGCATTTGTGTTGGCGGCGCGAGCGTTCCATATCGCCTCTCGTGACGCCAGACCATCGGGTGTTGAAGTGCTGCATCGCAATGTCGGGGTAGACCAGGCTGTCGATGAGGGCCTCGCCGGTGAAGTAGTCGATAACGGTAAGACGGATCAGCTCGGAGTCGCCGTCGAAGGCGGTCCCCATCTCGCAGTCGATGGCGACTGCCGCGCGATGATTGGGTTCGGCCTCCGGAGCAGTAGGGTGGAACTGCCAGCGTCGCTGCAGTTCGAGTCGGACCAAGTCATCCGAGACCGGCGCGTCATGATCCTCCTTGCCGGTGCAAGGGGCCGCCGTGACATGCTTGCCGCAGCATGTCCACGTCTGAAGAAGTAACTTACAATGTCAGTTTCCTGTTCTGCGTGTTCCGGGATCGGCAATGACCTGACCTTGTTGATGACGTTGCCGGGGTGGAAATTGCAGAGTAGGCGTGATTTCGGGCGCGGGCTGTCTGCGTTGCGCGGGTTCCCCTCTCCCGATGCTGGAGAGTCGCTGCTCTTAGTCCTGGGCTGCTGGCCTGCTTCATCACGCTGAGGTCGGTGTTGCTGGCCTTGGGGTCGCTTCTTGCTGACTGCGCAACGTGTCAGTCTTGACTGCACATGTGGCTGATAGGATATTGTCAAGATGGCGATTGACTCACTTCGGTCACCGCACGTGAGGCATCTTTTCTTCTGCTCAAGTTCGTCATCGGTGAGCGGCTTGACGATGTAGCCAGCCAGCTTCAGTGCCTCCGGGGAAGCGACAAGACTGTTCAGCTGTTGGAAAGTCTCCGAGTTGAGCGCGATCGCTCTGGTGCCATTTTCGGGCGTCGAGGCGGCGTCTTGAGCCATGTGCGCTGTTGATGAGAGAGGTAGTCTGAGACGATGGCGAAATCGCAAGACCGATGGTTCAGATATGTATGACTGGGAAATGGCTGCTGTGTTTGCACAGCTCATGTTTTGCTGTGGGCTTCATGTTTGCAAGGCTCTTCTTTTACTCAGAAGTCGGCTGCCAACAGTCCGCTTTGGCGTGGATAGCACTGCCATTGGTCTTGGGATGGGATGAAAGACGCAAGTTGTCGCCCTCTGAGACCTACCGCATCTTGCAGCTGCAGTGACACAAAGCAGAATGTGGTCATCAATCGCCTTCCACACAACACTACGCCAATCAGCAAGCAGTACATGAGGCACTTGAGCAACAACTGAATTGCCCCGGTCGTCTGCACCACCTCTTCTGCCACCTGGTACGTACCTTTTCTGCCATCTGATACGTATCTTTTCTGCCATTGAAGTACGTCTCTTTTCTGTCACTCAGGTATGTACCCTATCTGCTGTCAATGGTTGCTTGAATGCTCGCCAACGTCCTAGTTGCACGGTGAATGACTAATGTAACCACACTTTCATGTTCACATAGCCTCAACCTGCCTTGGTCGCTGGAGAACGTAGTTCCAAGTTAATCTGCTCACAGATAGAGATATAGGGTGGCCTGATAGAGAGAAACGTCGGGCTTCTAAATAAAGAGTCCAAAGTCCTTAGGCTTGATGTCCCAGGGCAAAGTAAATCCATCTATCTATCAATCCATCAAGTACGCACGAGATAGTAGAAAAGGTACGTTTTTAAATAGCAGAAGGCTACGTATCTTGATAGCAGTGTCACAAACTCTGGAACAATGCACTGGTGACGCAAAGACGCAATCTACAGCAAAAGAATACCACCGCGCTGTGCTCCGTACCCAAGATTGGAGCGGAGTGGTCACACCCTATGGATATGAATATATGGAAGCTTAGGTGAATTGGGATCTAAAGATTTGCTCCTTAAAGATCAGTCTCTTGGAGATAAGAAACAAATGACCAGATTACGCATGACTAGTAAATCGTCAGTTCCTCGTCTGTGATGGCTGCACATCTTCTTTGACGGCATGACTCTTTGTTACCCTGCTTGTTGTGAGTGTCTCATAACAAGCAGGTCTTTACTAAGTGGCAGAAAGAGTACTTTCAAAATAGTATATTCTTCACTTAGGTAACGTTATGTACTTTTCTGCTGGCAATAAGGATATATATTTAGGGAACGGCTAGATCGCACACGGCCACGGCTATATAGCACAGCGCTATCCCTGATTCGGCAGGGCTCCCGCGGTGCCCGTGCAGCAGTACAATCGTGAATTCCTGACAGCTGCCAAGCGGGCCACAGGCCGGCGTCTGCCCAAAGCACACTACAGCAGCCGGCTGCTGCCCCAACTTCCCGCTTCAACTTCCATCCACAACCTGTTACCGCCAGGATGCTGCTAACCCGCAGTAGCTGACAATCGCAATCGTAGATGTGTAGTTCATAGTCAGTACCTTCAAGAATATCACAAAAGCAATGGGAACGAGCTCATGTTATTTGCGTTGACTTCAATTGAACGGATTGATCAAGCCGACGCAGCTTCTGTGCCTCCACTTGGTAGCTGCCAGGAAGTTCACGATTGTACTACTGCACGGGCATCGTGGGAGCCCTGCCGAATCAGGGATAGCGCTGTGCTATATAGCCGTGGCCGTGTGCGATCTAGCCATTCCCTATATTTAAGTGGTAGGAATAGTAGCGTCATGATTTAATTATGTGCAACGACTAGAAGGGACACGAAGGTAGCGACCCGAGCTAAATATTTAGTCAGTCGTTAAGAACTAACGTATCTTATAAGCGAGTGACCCATATAAGCGAATGACCCACCCCCCCCCTTCACCATAACAACCATCCTCAAATATACCGCAACAATACTAAGAACTAACTACAATTACATCGGAAGCAGCCGTGTCAGACAATTGTGCAGCTTCCTGGCAAGTGCGAGCATTATGTCCGGGCTTGCCGCACACGCCACAACACCGAACTTTCGTACGCGCCTCCCCTGCACCACCACTATTCAGCTGCATTTCGTGCGCCACCTCCCCACCCATGGCCTTCTGGTCAAGTAGATTTTTTGCATCTTGTACCGCAAGTGATCCTCCAAGCCGTACGCGTGTTCTTTTCGCTCTCCGGCGCTTACTTCGTGCCTTGTTGGCCTTACGAAGCGAAGAGACCTCTGACTGAAGGAGGGTCATCTGGTGCATCACGGCCATCGTACCCTTGGCAAGCTGGTCCACGGCAGCCAAGATTGGCGTTGGAGAGCTATTTTGATGATTGGCGATGCGAGTCTTGAGGAGCGTTGACTGCGAGTTGGTTTCTCGGGGGTTGTGTGGCGTCTGGAACACCAAAGGTTGTGGAGTGCTGGCCCGCGAGTTCAGGGGTGTTGGTGTATAGAGCTTTACATCCAGCTTAGAAAGCACCTTCTCTGGATTGTACGGTACAAGGCCAGCACCAGCAAAGGCACTTGGCCCTCTGGTAGTCGTATTTGCGCGAATAGCGCGTTCGGGGCTCTGGCTGGCGTTTGACGAAGTTGTGTGCCCAGAGCTTGCCGACAGGGGGCGCGTCGCGTACGCGTAGCAGTTGGTTGGCCATATCTTCCACACCACGCAGTCTCGGTGGGAAAGCTCGCGCACATAGCTCAGTAACGTATTGAACAATAGCATTCTCTTCGAAATCGGTAAGCCGGCGCGAGTTGGGCATAGTATCGCATCGCATGGTGGGCAACAACTCAACTCAACTCAACTCGGCCCTGAAATTGGGTTGAGTTGGGCCTCCGGCCAGCCGAGTTGATTGAGGCCATTCACAAGTTGAGTTGAGTTGCCGAGTTGCAACTCAACGCCAAGTCCTTATGTAATACAGCAAAAAATATTAGTTATCCAGACCTGAGCACCCTACTCTCCAGCCCCCTGAGCCAAACCAGAACCCCCTACCACAGTCGACTCCACTGCTTGAGGCTTTCCACTATATTGATAGCATCATCATGTACGCGGTGACGTTGATGGCCAACTGTGTGCTTGGCCCTGCTGAATACCCTCTCGCACTCTGAAGACATCGCCGGTATCGTCAACAAGTCCAACGCCATGATGGAAAGGCGTGGAAAGTCGCTCCTTCTGCCAGGGCTCAACCACCACTCCACAGCATCGTCAATTTCCTCAGGGTCTTCAGATAGGTAGGCCTGAAGCTCATCCCTGGTTGCAGGGTCCGGCCGGCGAGCGTAGAAAGTGTGACGATGCGGCACCAAGCGGTTGGTCCAGGCAGTCCGTTGACTGCCCGCTTGGGCAAGTCGGCGTTGTTCGGCAAGCAGCTGGGCAGCTAACTGAGCCCACTCGATGTCGCCTTGACGGCGTAGATTTCTCCACAGAGACCACAACACCAATGGAAGTTGGACCTTCAGCACCGGTTTTGCGATCCATCTCGACAAGGAAAACGTCGTAATCGGAAATCCACGATGTCCTCGGGTGCCGCTTGAGAAGCCGAGCTTGGATATACTAGGTTTTCTTGGACAGATTGAACGGCCAGTCCTTGTAGTTCAGGCCTAAATCGCCGTCCTGGATGTTCTCCTGTGCCTTGATCTGTTGCAGGATGCTTTTGGGCCGCGCAAATATAGCATAACTGGGCCTTGTGGCAACTGCGGCAGTCGTATTTAGCGTACGGTCGGAGGAGGTCTGGACAGTCGATAGCTCTGTCGAGAGGTCGGTGTCGGCAACAGAGGCAACGGAGGGAGGCATCGTGGGTTCGGTAAGTGGGTAGGTAATAAGGACAGGAAAGTCGCAGTCGGCTTGCCTCCCAGGTACGTGCGGCAGGCGAAGACTAGATTGGCCTGCAACACCACCCAAAAAGCGCCGAAAAAGCAGGAGGGCACTTTGGCTGCCCTGTTTTCTCCGGATATGATGTTTATCCGCTGCCGAATGCCACTGTTGGGCAATGGCACGAACACCAAAACAGACTGGTGCGACGAGGAGTTTCCAGGGGTCTTGGCCTCAATGTACCTCAACTCACCAACTCAACCCGGCCCTGAAGTTGGGTTGAGTTGGGCCTTTTTTTGCATAAGTTGGGTTGAGTTGAGTTGAGTTGAGTTGAGTTGAGTTGATGCCCACCTTGTCGCATCGTGCAGGCTTGCCGGCGCGTCGGCGCGCTAGGGTTCTACGGTTAACCCCATAGATCTTAGTTGCAGCTCGCTCGCTTAGTTTTTCATCGTTTTGGAGAGCTTCGAGGGCTAAGATTAGCCAAACAATCAAGGAATAAATCAATTGATCTTGCTATTAATAATCCGGGTATTGCGGGTGTGATGGGCTGAGCCCATGATGGCCTCGGCAACCCTCGGCCGTGGTATCATGATAACGTCATCCTGAGGCAGGCAGCGTCTGTGTGTTCCGGAGCATATAAGAGCTGCCCTCTCTTCCTGTCATCTAGTTCTCTCTTTTCTTCTTCTCTCTCCATTCGAGACAAACTCGTAGAGTCGTCACCAGCTAGTTGCAATATACTCCTGGGACCGTTACAGCGGGCGGCGGGTGAGGGAAGTGTGCGCGATTGAAGGCTTAAGCCATTACGGACGACACCTAAATGGGATATGAATAGGACCTGAACATAGCAGTCGAGAATGTCGTCGTTAGTATTGAGGGGAAAGATCTAGTTAGCCGACTATAAGAATAGATAGCAGGATTCTTCAGCATAACCCAATACCTTTGTATATTGGGAAATGACCCATAGGAGGTTTGTAAAGAGAAACGATAGTTACTTAACTATTGTCGCGGTTTGTGACAGTGTGAGGTTCATGCGTCGCAACTCCTGGTTCGACTTGACAGTTCGGACCACGGTCCCTCTTTTGAGTGTGTTACGCAGTGGTCAGCTGTGCCCACCCGTGACAACTATGTTCTAATTAACGGAGCTGGGCATTCCGTTAGGTTGTAAGCGAATAGGCAGGCAGTGTAAAGCCGTTTGTCAGATTGAGAAGGCGGTCAGGACTTGCTGCCTTATGACATATATGCACCACAAGTGTGGAAAGACCGCCGATGGCACCGGCACCTGCCTGCCTAAAACGGCGGCATTTGCACGTAGAATCACATAAGAGTAGTTATTGAAGGTGCATGAACACCTCACAAACATCGGGCAGGGAGACTCGCGTAATGAGATAAAGGCTTAACGTTAACTTATAGGAGAGAGCTGTTATTGAGTCTCGACCATCTTACCAATGTAACTTGGGTCTAGGCTCTCAGTGTGGCTCTGCTGAAAGAGGTCCCCTATAAAAGCAGGGAAGATCAGGGAGACAAAGAGAATTCCTGCGGTTAGTTATTACTGTAATTTCCAGAAGTTTGGCAACAATATTGTCCTCCGGACAGGAAAATTGTCCTCCGGACAGGAAAATTGTCCTCCGGACAGGATAAGTCAGAAACACCATATTCAAGAGTTCTGTGTGTCTTTGGGTGTGAATTCTGGAAGCCCCGCCATTTCATTCCAATGAAGCTAAGAAATCTGAAAGCTGCGAACTACCTTCAATACAGGACCTGAATATCAATGGCACGCGAAAAGCCAGAAAGATAAAACCCGGCCACCTCTAGCAAGGGAAAGGGAAAACGGACAAAGAAAGGCGAAAGCAAAACAGGGCACGAAAGGGGAGAACAAACACGGAAGTCCATACACCGACTGTTGATCAAAACAAGAAGAGATCTTGCAGTCTTCCCTCTCTCGCAAATTCACCATCCATAATCCCATCACAATAAGCCTCCCCAATGAAAGCAAACTTATCCTTCGGCTGGCCCAGCGGGCGCAGGATGAATGGAATACGACCGCCGCAAAAGATAACCACCATGTCCCCAGCTTTCGTCTCGCCGGAAGCGATCCCTACATGGCCGTTTTGTGTTAGAAACGGCCTCTTGTTTGTGGCATTACTCAGGCTGTGTCGATAATCTGCCCCAGTTTGCTGATTTCCAGATTTTTCCTCCCACCCAAACTCGGCAAACCTCGTGCTCTGCTCCTCGATACTTAGCGTGGCGCACTCCAAAATGAACTGGAGGGCCTCCACAGCTTGCTTGTGGTATTGTTCAGCTTTGGGGGGGGCCCTACTCATATATGAGCCCTTAGACCAGTTGCCACGAGACCCGTACAAATCAGCAATGGGTACGCGCCAACGGGCTTCCGCCATGCGCTCTCTGCTCGGATATGCTCCCTCTGCTTCTGGCGTGGCTTTTGCCAGGGAGATATCGACAAAGGTGTTGATCCAGGAGAAATAATCGAGAATAATAGCCGCGTCGAAGTCGCCGGTCCATGCTAGGGGCTCGCTTTGGGAGACCATTTCGATTACGTCCACGATGAAACCCCGAAGTCCAAGCGCCCGCGGGTCAGCAGAGAAAACCGGCTGGACGTCCAGATAGTCGCCGCAAGCGGCAAAGGTGTGTGTCTCTGTCGTCTCGTTGATCTTGTAGTATGGGCCCTGCAGGTTGCTCCGCCAGTCCGGGACCCAGGAGGGCAGATAGTCAGCCAGACGGCCGTCCCGGCCGGGAGTCTTGGGAAACTGGGTGCAACACAGAATGTCGATCCTTCCGCTGGTGGGATGGGTAATCATTTGCCGGGCTGCGTCAGTCAGGATGCGTGCCGTTTTCTCGTCGTTTCCCATGTCGGTGTAATCGGGCCTGATGTCCAGCGCATTCTCCCCGTTGGTATCCACCGCGAGAGCCAGTAGCGAGTAGATTCTGTCCCTGTGCTCCGTGGCCTCGACACTATGCTCCACGTACAACTTCTTGAGCAATGCGTGCAGTTGGTCGCCCCTAGCTCCAGATCGTGACTCGCCTTTAGCTCCATGTCGTGGCTCGCCTTCAGCTCCATGTCGTGGCTCGCCTTCAGCTCCATGTCGTGGCTCGTCTTGGGCCCTGGCCGCCCTGTCAAAGTTGCGCCGCCTTTGACGACAGGTAAACAGGCTCGACGTCGGCTCTCCCGAGAGTTCGTTCAACTGCTCCATTGAAACGCCCCTCTGAAGGTATGTTTTCGACCCGAACCGTCCAATGGAAAAGCCATGGATTTGTTGGGCGAGAAAAACGAGCTTGGGATCAAGCCTCTTCTTCCCGCACACCAGAATCGTGTTGTCGCACAAACAGAATTCCTGCACCACCCAGGCACGCCCAAACCACGGCCGGCAGAACCACTTCCACAAGCGACCATCTCGTATAAGCGGTATTAACACGTTCATAGCGCGTTCCAACATATTCTGGTATTCCTGGGTGAGGGCATCCTCAAGGTCGGGGTCGTATATCATCTTGGATAATGCAGGCCACTTCTCCAGGGTGTAGTACTTCTCCATTTCTAGGTTGCGAGCATCTTGTCCAATAACTCGCCATGCATCCATTACTTCGTCAGAGCCATCCTCTTCCGGTCCAAGCCACACGAGGACTTGCCTGGCTTCTGCGTAGATGCGTCCCATTAATTGTACCTAATCATCTCCAGTCGAGTCAGCGCTAAGCTTGGTAACACTTGATGTCAAGGACATTGATAACAAGACCTCGAGAAGGAAGCAGCGGATCCTCGACGAGGTAAAAAAAATCATGTCCTGGAAGGCAGATAGACAAGTAGAAGAGGTTCTGACACGGACCTGAGCCCCCTTCTCGGTACCATCCTCCTGATTGATGCAAACCTGATCGATCCACAGCACGACCTTCTCCCTTTCGTCCCTGAGGTGTACCAGAGTAATGTGCAAATTTTTGGTGATGGCCAGTCTGCTCTGCACATTCACCAGCTCCGGCTGTTTCGCTTGGTTTCCATGCGCGATCTTGGACCCAACGACAAAGATGGAATGGGTTGTCGTGGGATCCTTACCCCATGTGTACGACAGCGCTGTATACGACAGCGAGTCAGTGGCCGTGGATTGCGTGTGTCCGCGCCCAGGCGTTGTTGGGAGGGTCGATACAAGAATATGGCCAGTCAGGGGTGCCGAGCGGTCTGGTGAGGGGAAGAGTTCGAGACGGCGTATCTCGGGTTTGGATTTGTCGAGTGGTGCCGAGTCGTAGGTGAATGGTCTGACGGCCGGTGTGTCGGTTGTAGATTTCATGGTGTTTGAATCACTCATTTTTTTTGAATCCTACCGTACCGGCTCTTCAGGAAGAGATTATTGATGAGAGGTCGGATATTTTTGGTCGGGCATGAACGTGTTGGAAGACCAACAGCCACGATTCCACGGTGATCACACAGATGATGGGAGCTTACAACAGTGGGTTGAGATGCTGGGAGCAGCCCAGAAGTTCTTAATTGAAGGTTGTTCTTTTCTCATGTCTCCAGCGAAGGGGGGAATCGCCCTGACCTCGTTGCACAGCGCCAGTTGGGCAGCCATGCATCCAACAGGAGGGCACTTGCAGCTGAGCGTCCGAGTTTCCAGTGCCTCGACTTTCCAACAGAACGGTTTGAACGATCGGGAGTGGGCGCGGGCTCGTCGGCGGATGGACTGCCAGAGCCTCAGCCGCACTACGCCAAGAGCGCCATTTCCTGCAACTTGGGGCAGGCAGCCTGTAAACCTCTGTACTCCCAACTCTCTACCCCAGTAGCAATCCTGTGGAACATCACAGTTACGATCTACGCTTCTGTGGAACATCTCTTGGAATCGTAGGTATGCAATAGCTGCCACTCATTTCAAATCATCACCTTATTCCTCTTACGGCGACAAAATCAGATATCTACCATATGCTCGACATTCATGGTGCAGACCAAGAGCATTGCTTGGGTTGGGGAATTCCCAGTATCATTGGCCCTGTATTATTATTAGTATTCTTCTTACACCGCAAAGGCTTATGCCTCGCTCAGCTAGAGCAAGCGGTCCCTCCTCGCTGCTTTACATGCAATGCATCCTCTCACGTGCTGCGCCTTCACAGCGCTTGCGCTGTGTAGGCGTTCCCTGTATACCCTCATATCCAACAGTCCGGAACTCATCCTTCCGGCTTGGTGACGACGGTGCTGTGGGTGGCCATCCCGGCCTTGTGCGTCACTCTAGCGCGCAGCGTGGGCTGCGCGCCGATGGCTTTGGCTCAGCGCTAGAGCCCTATGCGTCTCCCCCTCCTCCTCCTCCTGTTGGCTTCCCCTAGGTCCTCCGTCTCCCTGTCTGGCCCTGGATTCCCCTCCTCCTCCTATTCCAGTTCCATCGCAAGCTGGTATTCCTGTAGCCGTCCGAGTCTCATGAGCCATGCCACAACCCGCGCTGCCTCTGAGCAGCGCCCTAGCGCCTCTACCAGGGCGTGTCTGTCCCTGAGCTGCGGTCTCCCCTCCTCGAGCTCCCGGTCCGGGCACCTAAGCATCAGGTGAGCGACTGTCTCTGGTGCTTCCCCGCAGCGGCATAACGGCGTGGGTATTCCAGGGACTCGCCTCCTGAAGAGAAACGCCCTCAGGCCTATTGCTCCTGTGCGAGCCTGTGTCAGGAGTGAGCTCCTTGCCTTATTTAGTCCTTCGTGGGCTGCCAGCGGTCGTGCGGGGGGGTCGAGGCTGTAGAGGTCGGCTGCCTCCTTGTAGCGACGTGGGCGCTGCGCGTCTGCGCGTTCCATTTGTGCCTTGCGGCGGGCCTTCCCTTCTTCGATAGTCGTCACATCCGCGTCTAGTTCCGTCCATTCCCTGTCCGGCGTCTGTTGATCGACCTCGCTGCTCCTGATATGTGCCTGCAGCCACTCCTTAGCCCACTCCTGCTTTTGGAGGGTAGGTTCCGCCGCCGGGATTCTCGTGTTCCTCCGGGTCCTGCGTCGCCGCAGTTGGGATGTCACCGCTGCGCATGTGGTGCGCAGGAGCTCCGCCATCCCAGTCCTTTGTAGCCGCTGTTCGGTCCTCGCCACCCACCTGTTGAGGTATAGGTCGATAGGGGCCACCCAGGCCTCGCTTTCCAGATTGCGGACTGGAGTGGCCTTGTAGGCCCCGGTCACTACTCTCAGACAGCACGTCTGTATCGCTTGGAAGTTGCGTGCAAGCCCTCGCGGTGTCCCGCCGAGTGCGGTTGGTGTGTGCCAGGCCGTCGCCCCGTATGACAGGACGCTCCTGACCACCTTTGTGTATATCTCCCGAGCTTTTGAGATGCGCACGCCATGCGTCTTCGCAGTGAGTCTTGATTGGCCCTGTATGTACAATAGGACATCGAGTTTGCCCAGGATTCGATTGAAACAACTCCGAACTGCCTGTTGACCCAGAAATGCAAGGTGTTGGAAAGCCAACAGCAACGAATTTCCCGTACCGCAGTAATTGGGCACCAAAAGATGGGCAACAACTCAATTGATGATCATGTCTCTGTCCCCTCTGTCCAAGAACACAAACACACACACACACACTTTTTATTCCGCCCGGCGGGCGTAACCCGAAAGGGCAACTAAAACTAATTAAACCATACATTTCGCAAGATATGCCTTGATCTCCTTAAAGCCCATGCAAAGTCCATTCTAGCTCGTATGCTCTCTCCTGCCTTTTTTCTTCAAGTTCTCGTGGGTTAGTCGGGGTGTTAGTAGGCTGGCTTGAAGGCGATTTTCCAAGTGTTCAACGTCCTATTCTCGGCAGTTGAAGCGGTGCCTGCTGTCCGTGGCACGTGGTGATGAATGGGGATCGGTGGTGGAGAGTGGTGGGTGGTCGCTTAGGTGCTTAGTCGGCCTGCAGTGGTTTTGCGTCAAGTCGGCCTGTGGTCATTGCGAATCGTATCGTTGCCCGAACGGCCTCCATGTTGGAGACCAGCCTTTGCTATCCGACGGTGATTTCCCTCCCAGGTAGAAAGGAATATTGCTTCTGTGGGTGTGTGTACAGTCGAGCATCTCCGTTCGGTACGCCGTCCATTTTTTACATCGGAAGAGGAAGTGGTTGACTGTCTCTGATGCTTGCCCACATGTGCATTGATCTGACGGTGCTACTCCGATTCTGTGAAGGTAACCGTTGAGTCCCGCCATGCCTGTTCTGAGCTGGGGACGATTATTGGAGGATGGTGAAGGTAGGATCGTGGATTCTGCAGCCTGAATGATTGGAGGGAGGCAGGCCTGTGGTGAGGTACACAAGTACCTGGCTGTGACCAAGCGCCCCGCACTGTCGAGACACCCAGAAATGGCGGCCCTGCCCTGCCAAATTCGGCGGCTAGAACAGCAAGTTCTGTACTTATGAGGTAATTCATATAATTCGACTTCCAGCACCTTCAGGATCAAGGGGATAACCACACTAGCCCACGTTACGATACCAATTGCTCCCTCAACCATTGTTCGTTCAAGTCATGCCAGCCGTCGTCGGACTCTAGACAATCCTTCGACCCCGCTTTCGGGTGGCTGCTTATCGCTTACGGAGCACCACATCGCTTACCAAACAATTGTCATCGATGTGAGGAGTCGCGGAAAGATTGGCTGCAGGTATCAAAACGAAAACCACGGATGGTATATTAAAGCTTCTCATCAATTTGTTGCTCAACAGAAACACCATACCTTCATCCTTTAGATCACAATATCGCCTGCAAATCAATTACATCACTTAGACCACGCCATCACTTCCGAATCTCAGTCCTCACATCGTCTTCATACCAATCCCCAACAACGAATACCGAAACCATTCGAGTTATCCCGCTAGACGAGATGACCGGCAAAAAGATCATCACAGTCTTCGGGGCCACAGGTGCCCAGGGAGGTGCCGTGGCCGACACGTTCCTGCACGATGCCAAGCTCAAGTCCGACTGGACGGTCCGCGCTGTTACTCGAAACACCACCTCGGAAGCTGCGCAGAAGCTCAAGAGCCAAGGCGCCGAAGTTGTCGCTGTAAGCCAGCACTGTCTCCGAGGGAATACCTGGTAAAGTACTTGCTGACCCGCAGACCCCTTGACAGGCCGACTTGAATGACAAGGCTACGCTATTGAAGGCGGTCGAGGGTGCTTCCGCTGTCTTCGCCGTCACGAATTACTGGGAGAAGGCGGACCACGAGCTGGAGCTCCGACAAGGCAAAGCCCTGGTCGATGCCGCAAAGGACGCCGGCGTGCATCACTTCATATGGAGTTCTCTGATCAACGTTAGCAAGCGTAAGTCTTGTACAAGTACCCTACCCAGTATCGTCAGACGATGAACCCAACACACCAAACTCAAACCACCAAACTCAACCTAGCAGAGAGATCATGCTAACCTTTCTTAGTCTCCAACGGCAAACTGCCGCACGTCTACCACTTCGACAGCAAGGCCCAAGTCGAGGAGTACGCCCGCGGCGTTGGCCTTCCCGCCACCTTCTTCCTACCGGGCTTCTACATGTCCAACATCCCCGGCGGCATGCTGCGGCCCAACCCAGACAGAGACAACGCCTGGACGTTCAGCCTCCCCGTGCCCGCCACCGCCCCCATTCCCGTCTTCGACCCGGCTGACACGGGCAAGTACGTCAAGGCGGCCGTGCTGCACCGCGACGCGGTCCTGAGCCGGCGCATTCTCGGCGCCACGGCCTACCTCACCGGCACCGAGATCGTGGAGGGCTTCAAGAAGGTGTTCCCCGAAGCGGGCGAGACGGCTACGTACCGCCAGCAGTCCGAGGCCGAGTACCTGGCTGCCCTGACGGGCAAGGGCACGCCCGAGTTCATTGCCCAGGAGCTGCTGGAGAATATGTTGCTGCTGGATCAGTTTGGGTACTATGGCGGGGCGAGCCTCGACGAGACGCACGCGCTTATCGAGGACGAGTTGACGACGTGGGAGGATTATGTCAGGAAGTCTACTAAGTGGCCAGCTGATCTGAAATAGTGACTGCGGGAATAGGTACGGTCCAGCAGCATGGTGGTTTTGGCTTCTGTTCTTCGGCATGGTCGCTTATTCGGTGGGGTACTGGGTGTATATATCGTGTGGTTGTGGTGGAAAAGGGATGTCCAATTCGTCCCTGTGGACCCTGAAATGGCAAAGCGTTGGCAGCTGGGGTTTCCCATACGCATATATTATTTTGCTGCTTATGGATGTGACAAGTTCTTCTAGGATTTCCTCCAGCGGGATCCGGATACCACGGATCCTACTAAGAGGCAAGGGTTTTTATTTGTCCCACCGGAGTTCCTCTAATCTGATTCGACACTGGGATACATTCCCTTGGCTTTGGCGAGAAGAAGGTCGTACGTAGAACCGGGAACTTGCAAGATGCCTGCAAGGCAGTTGGGGGCCAAGTTAAAGTGAACTCAGCCAGGGGTAACTCATAGGACTTTTTTCTTATCTTTTCTACTGTGTTCAACCGTCTGCTTCACGAATGCGCAAATGTCGACGCACAAGAAGAGCATCCTGGTGACGGGCTGTTCAGCTGGCGGCATCGGCGCGGCCATTACCCTTAGAACTGGCCAGACACTGTCACCATGTCTACGCAACCGCCCGCGTCACGTTCAAGATCCCGATGAAGCTCTCGGCACTCCCAAACGTCACGGCCCTTCATCTCGACGTGACATCCGACACTTCGGTGAGGGAAGCGGCAAAGGCATTGCCGATCATAGCGCTGCCGCCGGTGGTGGGATTGACGTGCTCCTCAATATTGCTGGGTAAGATACACGATGCGGCTGCTAGACGTCGACATTGCCCACGCCCAGCGACTCCACGACACAAACCTCTAGGGTGCCGTCCGGACCATCCAGGCCTTCGCAGACCTCTTGATCGCTAGCAAGGGGCGGATTGTCAACATCAGCAGCGTCGGCGCGGTTGTGAATACTCCGTGGATTGGTGAGCCCAACCAACTATTCTTCCTATTACTGTATATTCCTTACCTAGGTCATTAACACGAATTAGTCTCCCCGGGCCCATAGGTGCATACGCCTCGTCCAAAGCGGCACTCAACTCCGTCTCCGACATACTACGTCCCGAGCTGGCGCCGTTCGACGTCAGCGTTTTCACCGTTATGGTCGGCACCGTGGCCATGCCCTTCCACGCTAACGAAACCAGACGTTGCGCTGCCGCCGTCGTCTCGGTACGCCGCCATCCGGGACACCGTCAACCGTTGGGCCAAGAGTCAGGCCGGACTCAATGGTAGCTCACCCGAGCTACTCGCCAAGCTGCTCGTCGACGACATCGTTGGCAACGCCAAGAACGCTCAGGTCTGGAAGGGGCCTGATGCCGGCACCGCCAAGTGGTTGTCCCGATGGGTGCCGACAAGTAAGCTGGTAAGTGCCTCAAACTGCCCTGCTCTTCTGAGTCTGTCCATTGGCCAAACACTGGCGGTAACACATGCATCCGCTCACAAGATGGAATGATGAGTACTGGCCAAGAGTTCGACGAGTTGTCCGAAAGTTTCAAGAGGAAGGAAATGGACACTTTGTGGTTTGTTCCACGGATGTCGTTAGATTGAGGGATGTCAATGGCACTTTGTGATTGTCTTGTATATTAACATGTTGCCGCCGCACAAATCCAACAAGGGAGCGTCTCTGACATGGAAGCGCCTGTCGGTAACATTACATGGACACATTCATGTATCACGTATACGAGCCTGCGGATTACGTCGGATGCTATCGACTGTAGCGACCGGGAAGATTGCGTCATGATGTCTTCAGTTCTGACACTGAAGTTAGGGCTTTGTTGAGATTTCAAGGGCGATCCCGACTGACGGCGACACGCAAAAGCTTGCTTCCCTTATACACATTATACACAACCCAGTCCAACCAATATATGCAGTTGTCCTTCAAGTTCCCAAGCCAAACACCGAATTCAGAAGTCTCGTAACATCATCAACCCAGTACTTCCCTGGCCGAAACACTTTCCAGAAACACCTTGCCCCTGATGCCAATGAAGTTTTCCCACCCACCTCAAACTCCTCGCTTAGAAACATGAAGCAGATAACCGTACAATGTAGTAAACCGGAACAGGAAAGAACAGCTGTAGAAAACCAGCGCATGTGCAGACATTATCCCAAGAAGTCGACAGCCTCCCATTCCCAACCTTCCCCGACGAGCTCTTGAGTCCAGACCTAACCGAAGAACCATCCAACGTCATGCAATTATGCGTGTGCATGTAGGACCTAGGGGCGTGATAGAACAGCTAGCCCCAAGCAGACAAAAAACGTATCCCCATCAACTGAATCATGGAAACACCACCCAACGAATAATGAACAGTGACTGGGGGCGGACGGCCGAGGACCGTCTGACGGGAGAAGAAAAACATGAAAGATGAAACCATCAACGGGAGCTCTATACGTAGTACGCACCGAAAGAGAAAACCCGGAAGAACAATGCACGAGCTTGCATCCCCGAAATGCCAACAAACCACCTTAGAAAATGAAGGGAAGGACAAACAGTACTTTGGGAAAGGTAAAAAGTGTCATGAGACTCATTATGAAGATATGTACCCAAGGTGGGAAGAAGGAATAACGGAGGACGAAATATGTCGTGGCGGCAGTGAAGAAGAGAACTGAATCCTCTCTCCACAATTATCCCAGGAAGAAGTCTGATTTTGAGAGTCGACACCCAACCATCCCATCACTGGCCCGTGGTCGTAAAGGTAAGCTCAAACGGCAAATCAGCCAGCTCATCGCGCTGCGCCTGCATGACAGCATGCGGGGGGATCTGGTCCATGTAGACGCCGGCGGCGGCCTGCGTGATGGTCGCGGTGGACGAGACAGGCGACGTGTAGCCGTGGTGGCCGTCAAAGCCCATCAACGGCGGCAGAGCCATGCTCTGCTGAGAGCCCAGATCGAAAGTCCTATCGCCAAACCCAGCCGACGAGATCGGCAGCCCCTGCAGGGCGGTCGACGCCGCTGAAAAGGCAGAACCGTCGGACAGAGGGTACACCTCAGCAAGCTGCGAATTAAGTTCCCCCTGGAACGACGACGAGCCCGTCAGGTGATCGATGGTCTGACTGAACCCCCCTCCAACACCAGCAAAAGCAGCGGCCAAGTCAAACCCGTCCGGGACCATCGTCAGGGGCGGCATCCCTGCACCTTGCGAGCTGTACTTCGGGTCAAGGACCTCGGCCTCGAAATCTTCAGGATCCACTCCGCCGACCGACTCGACGCCGTCCGGAACCAGAGCACCGGGCTGGTCCATCGGCACGGTCACCTCCACCATCCACAACTTCAACTCGCTCATGGACGGCCAGTCACCGCCACCCTTGCCCCCGCGCCTCTCCCTGTTCTCTTCTATCTCCACCTTCGCCTGCGGCCCGCCGCCCCCGTTCCTATTCCTGGAGGAGCAGGCGGCGGCAACCCCACCCTTCCGAGGCTTGACCTTGAAATGCGTGCGCCGCAGGTGCGCGGCAGCGTTGTAGTAGGCGCCGTACTGCTTGTTCTGCGAGCACTGCTTGCAGTCGCGGAGGGGCTTGACGGCCGTCTCGGCGTGGGCGATGCCGTACAGGTCCGGGTCGCGACAGATCCACTTCTTGACCATGCTCTTGTGCTTGGCCTCAGTGTGCCGCCGCAGCTCGTGCTCGCCGCGGAAGCCCTCCGGGTGGTCGTTGCACTGGTTGCACATGACTTTGGGGTGCTTAGGCCGCTCGTACTTAGTCTTGATAATGACCGCCTTTCCGTTGTCTTTCGCCGAGTTGTTCTGTTTCGCCGCTGTCCCGGCTGCTGGCTTTGGTTGGAGATGGCGGGATTTGGCGGCGTAGTTCTGTCGGGCCAGTGCCTCCTTGGCGCGGAGCTTCAGAGACGAGCTGGACTTGACGCTGTCCTTGGACACGGACCGCTCCATGGCGAGGTGCTGGGCCAGGAAAGGACTGCTGAGATCGTGAGGGGACACGCCAGCAGATGAGGTGGACAGCATACTCGATTGAGATAGGGATGGCTCCATTGAATGGTGGTGTTGAGAAAGGGCGGAGTAGGTGGGCGCGGATGACGGGTAGGCGTAGTGCACTGTCAAACCTTCTGAGTGGCGCTTCCCGAGGAACGGGGTATGGGCAGCGTCAGGGCTATGGCGGAAGCCCTGCGTGGATTGTTGCGACTGTATCCGGACCATTTCGCTGAATTGGCCAGAGATCGAGGCTCCATCATTTATTGAGCTGTTGCGCCGCGACATGGGAGCGGTGTCCAACGTCGAACCCGAGGTCAGGGATCCACAAAGAGAGGGGAAACTTGACGTCGAATATGGTTCAGCGCTCCGAGGCGATAGCAGGTTCGAGGGAGGGATGGTGATGGGTGAAGTGGTCGGGAACAAGTCGTCCTCGTGCATCAAGAGGAACTCGTCAACACCCATTTCCCGACCGAAGTCGCGGTATTGTAACGGGGAGACCAGGGGGGTACCATCGGGAGTGACAGTGTTGGTGGCATTGTTGGGCTGGCTCTGTTGAGGACCCCCAATTCCCCCCGCACCAGCCGTGGAGCAACTGCTATGCACAGCCGGAGTGGGAATGCAGTTGTGTCCCTGGGTTACGAATTGTGTTGGGTTGAGCCCGACCCTCGAGCTGCTTGATCTCGATCGCATCATGGGCGCTGCGTTCGAGGACCCTGCAGCATGTGTGGTCTTGGAGCGCTTCATGGGACGGCTTTGGTCCTAAGGATGAGTCAGCTCAAGTGGTAGCAGCCAGTAGGTACTGCTGGAGGTTTAGATACCTGCTGCAAGTGATTTGGCGGAGGCCGGAGTTCGGTTCTGACGCCGGGGGTCCTTGTTGTACCAGCGGGGGCATTGTTATCGAGAAGAGGAGGATGTAATGATGCCGATGTACGGTAGCTGTTGTGACTGGCATCGAGGCTCCAGACCCTCGATGAAGAGTGTGACTGGGCTCTGCTGAGCTTCTCCATCAATTCCCGTTTCTCCCGTTCACTTCTCTCGAGCAGTGCCCTGAGCTGCTTGACCTCGATCTGCTGACTCATCCTGGTCGAATGGAGGTGGTGAAGAGAAGGCCGTCTGGTCTTGCAAAGAGATGTTCCGGAGAACACCCAATCCTCGTTGGGCCTGAGCTTGAGCGAACAGCTGGCGGCAGGTATCTGGGGCCTCCAAACTCTTTCTCGACAGGCTCCTTGAGTGGTTTAAACGGATGCTTGCGATAGGCGAGCAAACGAAACAATTCTCAAAAAGCGGAAACAAGAGAGCAGAGGAAAAGAGATTGGCAGGCGGCCAGCGAGCGAATGATACTTATTCAATCAACCAGGCCAGGCTTTGAAGAACCGAGTGTAAGACGGGTGATGGGTACGGAATACTGTGGAAGAGAAACAGTGAGAGCTCAGGTTCGAGCTGCAAACCCAACCCGGTTGACCTGTGGGTGGGTGGGGGAAGCTTGGAAAGGATACTCCGTATGCTCTGCAGCTGTGAAAGCCTGGTGCCAGGCACACATCACATCACTGATCCCACCCACACACCACGGGCAATCGAGGTGACGGGATCAACGGTGTAACTGACAGGGGTTGTTTCCTGGGCGCTTCTGACGGATGCTACGGCACCGCCTACCGACCCCGGACAAGCTTGGCGAGCCCTGTCTCGGCGCCCGAATGGACCCGCTGGGCGCTGTGACGAACTACCTATAACAATGGAATCTTGGATAGATCGGTTCCTCGAGTTGAAAAGGATGATGGGCGATGGGGCCTCGTCCGAAGGAACTCAACGTGAGCGACTCCATGCCCATTCTTGTTGGCAAGGGGGGATGAAGTACTTGCATTTGTTGGGCAGCAGGCATGGGGTGCTTGATTCATTCCCGCTTCGACAGTGGCAGGCAGTGGGAAGGGCAGCATGCAGAACGGTTGAGCACAGCAGTGGTGGTCGACCCATGCGCTTGCCGTGCCCGGCGACAGAGGCTGACGATTCTAGGTAACAGGCCATTGGGCGATAAGGTTTGGGCGATTTGCGACCTGGCTCTCGAGTGGACTGCCGGAATCCACTCAAACTGGTGGTCGTAGTGTATCACGGCATTGTGGGTGGCGGGCAGCAAGCCGGGTTGTCGCACCACTGGTTGGGTGGGATTATCTGGGGAATGCGTCGCTGTAGCCAGTCAGCTTTCAGTGCTGACGGAACAGCGCGTCTGGCCTGTCGTTAGGCTCCGCACTTGCACACACTCTTCGGTGATCTTTGGAGGACTTACCTATACATTCCTGAGGTTTGGCTGAGCGTGCTTGTTGAAACTCCTCGCAGCACAGGAAATGTGCCAAGCCTGTGTTGATCAAGCTGGGGCGCGGACATCAAGTGGACTGACTATCTATCATCCGGAACGTAGGAATGAACAAGAGAAGACAAGCGAATCTCCATTTAGGGAACTTTCATGATTGTTTGAGCATTCATTGCGGCATCGCCCAGGCTCGAGCTCAATTTGGGTTCTTCGCCGCAGTGGAGAAGTGGGAAGCTGGGGCTGCCACTGGAGGTCACAGCTGGGAGCGACTGACAAGCGTGCGAGCTACTGGTGCTGCTGTCACAACTTCACACAAGGGTCCCCAAGTTCCAGATGAGGCTCTAGAGCACTCGACCAAGCCGAATTCATAAAACCCGAGCTGATCTGTCATGATGCACCTCCGTCTTTTTCCCACAGATCGGTTGCCGAGCTTTCTCATCACTCATCCGTTTGAGGCTTCGAAAAAGACACCGGAACGACTTCAATGCAACCCGGGTGGTCATGGCAAACGGCCTGTTGGTCACGCATGTGTCGCCTCGTTGTCAACTGGCTCGCGCAATCCATGGCGACTGCAGGACCATCACAGCTCCTACGATTGGCCGGTCAGCCCCTGTAAGTGAGGCTACGACGTCTTGACTGGACAGAAATCACCGGTTTGGGGCGGCCCATCTCATCGGGCGACCCTCATACTCCCACCTGTTCCTGCGCCTATTTCACCAAATCTCCACCCGCATACGCCCTTTTAGTACTAGGCTGCCCGCAGCGACAACCACCGACCATTGCACAACTTTGAACACCACCACCGTCCCCTTGTACCAAGGCACTCGAAATGCCAATGCATTAACATCACTGTACATGCAAACCACTGAACTGGCCAATTCGCTCAAAAGCCGAACGCAGCTCTGGTTTCACCGTGTTTGCCGTGTGGCTTTTGCCGGCCCCACTCGGCCTGGGCCCCACCTCCGCGCCGGGCTCCATTAAAACGGCCCCACTCCATGTCGCCCTGTGGCTGAGGCTCAACGATGCGGTTTGCGAGGCTTGAAAGCCATTGAACAGGTGGAAAATATCAAGGTTTGAGAGATTTGATGTGTCGCAATGCGTGGCGTCAGTTGCAGTACACAGTGTGCTTTGACGGTGGTGATGTTCGCTGCGCAAGGGTGGTGTGGCTGGTGTGGCTGTCTGTGGAGTTTCAGTGGAAATAGGCGCAGGGCAGGGTAGGATTAGGAGGGCCATCATCAGGCGTCACAAATTATTGGCCTCATTCACTGTTCCACGACCCGCCTAGACGGGATCCCCACATTTTCGGCCACCACCACACTGGTTGGGCGGTATTCTCGGCTCTTGGGCCTCAATTCATCGGTTTCTCTCACCGATGGCTAGTGCGTTGACTACTGCTATAGCAGCGGTGCATGACCACGACTTGATGAGTTGTTCGTTGGCTACGGTTGTGACACGTTGCTGGTCACCGGGCTTCACCTTCGTCGTCTTCAGGAAACCTCCGCGTATCCTTGGTTGGTATCTCATCCCGGCCCAGTCTGGAACGGGCTTGTGATGAGACGCATTGGCATCATCCAACCTCGGCCCTCCTCTCCTTTGATGACTGCGGGTCGAACCATTCATGCACGCCAGGAGACGACATGGCGGATAAATGTGGCCCAAAACTGCGGCCAGCAATGCGTGTTAGTACGAGTACCCGGAAGCGGGAACGGGTCTCGGGCACCGATGGTGACCCACAATGGCTCCGTTGGCCTTCCGGTGACTCCGCCGTCTTATGTGAGGGCGCAAACTCGCGGCTTGCTCATCATGTCGCTGCGCGGAACGGATGGCTTTCCCATTGCCAAACGATTCGTAACCGGGGAGCACGAATGGATCGACAATCCCCATAATGATAAATCACCCGATCCAGACGGGCAGTCAATTGTTTTCTGGACGAGAGACGCCGACCTCTGGAAAGCCGGGTCTTCGATCGCGCGCACCGTCGCAGAACGGTCCCGGAGCGATAACATCTAGTACACAGTGAAAGGATGAACGATGAAAAAATGAAAAGGGTCTGATTTGCCTGTCAGTGTTCGTTGCTTGGGCATTGAGGGCGTCGGAACCCTGATGATAGAAAGGGTTCAAGTCCCAAACCGAAAAACGCACGAGCCAACCGCCATGAGGGACCTCGAAAGTGGAAATGGGGAAAGCGATGACATAATCGCCGACCCTTGGATAAGGCCAGCTTATCGGTAAGCATGCGACAGCCAGGTGTCCCGAAGTCCAATTCACAGACAAACCTACCAAACTCCAGCTACACACGGACATGACAATCCCAGCATCATGCGACGACTCAATTTGGTTCTGCTAGCCTCCCTACAGCTCTGTCAAGCCCGGCAGCACAGCTTTAGCATCCACGACGACCTTCTCGCGCACCCGCAGGTACGTTCCAGATGCTAGCATTGTTTAATGCAAACAATGTTTCCTGCATGCGACTCCAGCAGCGCGACGCTGACATGTTGGTCCCGTCTGCAGTTCGAGATTGTCTATTCTGATGACTTCATCTCAGAAACCGATGCCCTTGCCATCCTCGAGTCGTCGCGCACAAGTCGAGGGGCATCCCCAGCCGATGCCACGCAATCCGATCTGACCAGCCGTGTGCGCGAGTCCGCAGCGGCCGAGGCCCGGAGTACAAAAATCAGCGATGCCGAGGACGAGGATGTCCAGATTTCCAAGACATACGAGCTCATCAACAGCCCTCCGTTCCGCTACCTTTGCGCCGTGCCCGTCATCGCACCCCCCCCCGCATTGAACCGAACAGCAACGGAGCTGGCCAAGGCCGAGGAAGCTCGCGAGCATAGCAGGGCCTCGGCCAAGGGGTGGGAGCTGATGAGCGTGCTCGACGGGCACTGCATGTACTTCACGTCGGGCTGGTGGAGCTACAGCTTCTGCTACGGCAAGAATGTGGTCCAATTCCACGCCGTCGCGAGCACCCGACCCGGCGATCCTCCCACCAGGGACCAGAACACCCAGGAGTACATTCTCGGCAGGGTGCAGGCCCCAAAACCTTCAACCGGCCACTCGGACCACGACGGTCAGACCAAAAGCCTCGCCCCGCCAAACGCCCAGCTCCAAGTCAAAGGCGACCAGCGCTACCTCTCGCAACGCCTCGAAGGCGGCACCATCTGCGACCTGACCGGCCGGCCGCGCACCATAGAGATTCAATACCACTGCAGCCCCGGCGCCACCGCCGACCGCATCGGCTGGATCAAAGAAGTCACCACCTGCACCTACCTGATGGTGGTCTACACCCCGCGCCTGTGCAGCGATGTCGCCTTCCAGCCGCCCAAGGAGACCCGCGCCCACCCCCTGCGGTGCCGCCCCGTCATGCGCCCGGGCAGCGAAGAGGACCAATCCCTCTGGCGCCGCCACAGCCAGCAACACAACCTCCTCGCAAGCAGCAGCCAGAACCCCTTCCAGTCCCTCAAAGACGCTACCGCCGCCGCGGGCGGCTCTCTCCCGCAGAATTACTTTGCCGGCAGCACCATCAGCGGTATTGCCGTTGGCGCCAAGAGATACGTCGGCGATCAGCACGCGCACAAGCTCACCCTGCCGAGGGGTGTCTCGCGGCAGCCTGGGAGTAGCAGCAGCGGAAACTCAGGCGGAGGCGGACTGGTGGTGGAGATCCTGGCGAGCAAGAAGAAGGATTCTGCCAAAGTCGAGGTCATGAGCGACGAGGATCTGGAGAAGCGAAATCTGGATCCCAAAACAATCCGGGAGTTCCGCGAAGAAATGGAGATGCTGGCGGGAGATCGCGGGTGGAAATTGCAACTTGTCGGGACGGGGGAGCAGGCTGAGTATATTGGTGCTTTTGATGAGGATGAGGGTGGGGTGGATGGTGGTGGTGGTGGTGGTGAAGGACGGACGCAGGCTCTGCCACAGAGGTGGGATACGAGGACGGGTGAGGCTGAGCCGGCTGCTCTGGAAGAGGAGGAGGAGGTGGATGGGCAAGAGGGTTCGGAGGAGGTGTTTTTCAAAGAGGAATTGTAGATGGGTGTAGGGTGTAGATTGGTACGTAGCGGTACGTATTGATCTTCTATTTATTCACGTATTGTTCTACCTATGTGAGCTTTCCCTACGGTGTCCGTGCCGCAATCACCAGGTTCTCATCATTTCCTGCCATTGTCTCCTGTTCCCATCGGCGACAAAGGAGAAGCAACAACGACAAGCAGGGTGGTACATGGTCGTCTTTTAAGACCAGTAACTAACTGGAGAGACCCGGTAACTCCACCGACGTTCGTCTTGCCTTGCAACTCCGTTAAAGAACTCGAAGGCAAGGGACACTCTTAAGCACCTCAAGCTGAGACAGGTGTCTGATCTTCCAGGCACTACAAACTAGGATGAGTCTCCCGGACGTTGAGAACTTGACCAGAACCGGATCTCAAAAGTTCCCTGTCGCATGAATTCTGAGACTGAAACTCTCAAGGCTGGACTTCTGGCCAGCATATTCCACAGTGCCAAGCAAGGGCCATCACGGAGCAGCCCATACTTCCTCACTTGGCGCTCGTCAGTCGATCACTACATGCCAGGGACGACAAGCCACGAAAGTTTGATGCCATTTACCATCCCTTATAGTAAGAAGTGTCCTTATCGTGAACGCTCAGTTCACGGAATCTCCTCAGCTTGTCCGCCTGCCGCAGGCGATACAACCAAGAATGGAAAAGATGAGATGAAGTCCGCTGCTCCTCAGCATCAGCACATAATTTACCATGTACCTTACGTTAAACGCAAGAAAGAAGCCCCGCGAGGGAAGCTAGGAGAGTCCAGTTACACCAAAGCGAGGGGGAGTGTCATGGACAACGTGACATAGGAGCCTACTTCTCGCCACAGTCTCAATTCGGCCTCGCACTCCTCGTTCACATGACGGTTGTACGGACAGTAGCCACCAGAGCGGCCGAGTCCATCGACTGCCAAGAACACCATTTCGGGGAGAACGCTGCAGATGACCACAGTCAGGACCTCAAGGCAGGCAAGGCCTCCGTTGGGACGATGGCGACGTGCCTTCTCGTCGGGTTGGCCAGCTCGGAAGCCTGAGCGAGGTCGACTATCAAGGTGAAGATGACCTGGAATAGTTGTCAAGGTGAGCAAGGGCTTGGAAACGGAAGAGCGGTAGTATCGATAGTGAACTGACTCGAAGTAAACGCTGTACTGTGGTAGACGTACCGCAACACAGATGCCAATCATGGCTCTCCCATACTGATATCCTGCCCTTGACGTGGCATGGCTGGCACTGCAGAGAATGACAAGACAGAGCCCTAGGGAGATGCTCCTCAACGCGATGTGGAAAACGGCATACGACCACCAGGCGTACCATGAGGGGAGAATGACTAAAGGTTGATGTTGACCCTAGAGTCTCGCAAATCTCTTTTCAGATCTCGATTTTAGACATGGAGGCTGCGGGCTTGGCGCAGAACAAGAACCTTCCATTAGTCAAGTGGGTTTGAAAAAAGTGAAGTCTTACTGTGGTATGTTCTTCGGCTTCAAAATCATTCGATTGCATTGAAGCAACATCGACTCCTGCAGGTATAGGTAAAGATGGCATGTTCGCATATAGTAAGGAAACCCCCTTCCTTATGTGATCAAATCCTAACTTTCCAGCACTTAATGCTGGAGATAACGGCCAAGGTGCGTCGTTCTTGAACTTGGATCCCAAATGAACTGGAATCAAGCTTCATCCCATGCTACGGCTCGATTCCCTTAATCCTTGTTTGAGTGACCGAATTGGTGGTCTCCGCGAGGCGCAGCCCCCGGGCCCAAACGAAAATGCAACATGGCCGCGGGCGGGCTTCTGACTTGGGATGCGGCGGCTGCAAACAGGCTGTTTCATATTCGGTTCGGGCCAGGCCGCTGGAGTAAGCACCAGACCTCAGCACCCAGCTTAAGCAATCGAAGAGCCTACACACTTTGGCCCGGCATGCCGTCCTATCTAAGTTCGAAGTTGTGGCGGCAACCCAGGTGAAATACTCTAGTCCCACGACCTGTGACCAGACGCCCGTTTCCCCCGTTTCGGTCACCCTAAGCACGAGCACAGCATCAGCTAGAGACCTCTCGATTAACCGTTCTCTCTACTGTTGCTGTTTTCGAACGTTCTTGTCTCGCAAACAATGGCTGAGTTGTTCGTTTCAGGCCATAAGACCGGTCACGGCCAGAAACGTGATCATCCGGTCCTCGACTCTCGGCCATGGCTGCCGATGAACACTTACGATCGTGGGGGCAAGGAAGCGCCCACGATGCACCCGTGATTATAAGTAAATGCACCCGCTGTCCAGAATGATCGGCGGCCATCTCGGACCCAGAGTTTCGTTTGCTCAGTACCATAAACCCGTTGTCCATCGGAACTCTTTCGCTCACACACTCAAGTGACTGGAGTTTCACAATCTATCTCATGGCTTCCAAGCAAAGTGACCAATCCATCACCAGCGAATCGGCGCCGCTCATCAAGTCTGTCGACTGCGAGAGCGACCAGGACCTGTTTATGGTTCCCCTGAAAAGGCCCTCTCCGAAGCCGAACCCCGAGAGCTGTCCTCAGCCATGTTCACAGCTGGATTCCAATCCACATCAGAGCCCAGAAATGTCTGGGGATACCGTGAAGCCAGACAGTCCACCAATGTTTACGTCGCCCCTCATGTCCCCCGAGTCAGGGGCGCTGGCAGCCGATGGCTCCCCCAACATGCTGGGCTCAGCAGCACAGCGTAGCATGGGAACACCCGAGTCTCTAGGCTACAACAGCCCTCCTATGTCCGGAAGCAACCAAAAAGCGGGCATGTCGCCCATCATGTCTCCTGAGACGGGTTCCGCTGGTCAGAGCCCTCAACCACAATCCTCAACCGGGGAAGACACCACCGCCGCCTCCCGCTCGACAGGCGAAAAGCCCAGCCCGTCCACCAAAGCCTCGTCTGTCTACGACAGCCCGCCGGCCATCGTCACGGTTCAAGAGAAAGTCCAACCAGGCATATCCCCGGATACCACCGAGTGCCATCCCCCCCCCGAAATCCCACCCCTATCCGCCGCCCGCGCCCTGCTCAAGGCCACACCAAACACCACCACCACCAAGCCCGCCAACCTAGGCCTAGCCCTACACCTGCACCCTTCCCCAACCCAAAACACCAATACCTTCCTCGCCCCTCCTCCACCAACAAACCCCGGAATCCCATATTACCCCCCCACCTCCCCCCTATATGCACCCCTAAACAGGGACAAGGACTGGACCGTTCCCGACTCCCCCCTAGAACGCCTCTCCCAACTGCGCGCGACGCCCGACTCGGCGTACGACCGGGCGCGGCAGATGGAGGTGCGGCGGTCCAAGTGGAAGCACGTGGTATACCGGTTCCCCGTGCGGGGGGCGGACAACTGGGTCGTCGACGCCGACCTGACCGAGTCGTCGCACGCGCGGCTGGCCGAGGTGGCGAGGCGGAGCAGCGAGGGGTTTGAGTGGAATGGGGATGTGGAATTGGCAGGTGTGTATCAGGTGCTGAGCGCCGCGCATCGGAGGGTTATGGAGGAGATGAGGGGGGAGAGGAGACGAGGGGGGGTAACGGGGATTTCAGTGAGTGGAATGAGGGGGGTAGGCGAGGGGAGGGGGCTAGGTACGGAGAGATTGGATTAGACGACTCGGGTGATGATCAAGTGGTGGTGATTTTGGGGATTAGTTGGAAGGCAGAAGAGATAACGTTACCCGAACAATGTTTACGTTTTTGTACAACCCATCCAATTGACTCAACCATTCCAGATGATACACCTCATCTTACAGTGTGTTCTCATGGGTCTTATGCTCCACGCTCAAGACATTTCCCAACACCAGATAAGCTGAGTGACATCTTCCCTCCATCCTTACCCTGTACGCTTATCGTTTGTCGAGGCTCACAATCTCGGTAGATGATCGAACCCATCTCAGGCGGTGCCAACGTAGTCAGTGTCGGTTCAGAGGTGTTAATCAACGAAGTCAGGAAGATGGAGAAAGACTTGCATGGGCGCCATACGTCTCCCTCTACAAACTCCATGTCCGCTAAAGGGTATAACTTAGAGACCATATAGTTACTTCCGGGCCGGCCTCAACACGTCCTCTTCGGCGGAGTCCAATCCTGAAGATCCACATGAGGTGCCAGGCGAAGAGTGTCTCAGGAAGACACCCTCTCTGTTGCAGGCCTCGGTTAATGCTGGAAGAGATACCTTAGCCCGGAGCATGATCTGAGTGGCCGGATATGGGGCGTTCTACTCCGTGCCAGTTGAGAGACGAAGCGACGGTCTCTCCAGCGTTCCCACTGTAGCAACTATCATAGCTCAAATACTGGCATTCTTAGGTATCCGGTATAAATTTAAAGTTAGAACTCGCTGGAGTTGTGACAAGTCCGGGGGACTGGACTCGGCCCGGTTCCGGGTCTTGCGGCAAAGGCCATCCCCTACGGAGTTTGTTGGTCTCGCAAGGAACTCGGACGCCGATTGCCCGGCTATAGCAGTTTTCAGTCTCTCGGTGACTCGTGACTTTGTCTGTGCATAAGTGTGTGGTTGTGACCTTGTGACAACGCCTCAATTTGCTGTCGTGAAACTCAACCGACGCCATGCATGAGGCAGCGAAGGTAGCTGCCACGTAAGTTGCGTTTGTCTCTCCATCAGCTTTGAGATATTGTGGGCTCCCATTAAGTCCATTTATCAAGCACATTCCCTGTTCCTTGGGACCAAGACTGAACTTTTCAGAGATATCTGCCTGCACTGTTCTGAAGTGCTTTCCAGGATGATCCTCCATTGTATCTTCTCCGTTGTCGTCGGAGTCGCGTCTGCCCTTATTCTCCCTACTTTGGGCCCCCGGCCTGAGCTGGGATATTTGGGTGCTCTCGACTCCGATGATCTCTTCTCAGAGCTCGGCAAGCAACTCTCCCCGGGTGCCACCATCATCCGTCGAGACAATCGTCGCATGAAGACAACCTACCAAAGATGACAGGCTTACTCTATGCCAACCTACTCAGCCGTGGTTGAGGTTGACGATGAGGATGACGTACAGAAAACGGTTCGCCGCCCTGAAGACGCTTTGCACGAGTCTAACAGAAATGAACTGAACCTGTGCCAGGTCTGTTTCGCAAACAACCATTCCCTGCCCTTTTTGGCTATCGATGGATCACACGGCTTCATCTCCACGTTAGGGAGGATGCAGGGCGGCATTGCTATCTCGTTCATGAAGTTGAAACAGATCAAGATCAATCCCAGTGGCGACTATGCTGACTTGGGACCGGGGCTCACCAACGGTGAGCTCATCCGAGGTCTCTGGGCCGAAGGCAAGCAGACGGGTAAGTGTTAACCCAAAGAAACGCGGAAGCTAGCACCTGAGCTCTGCTGATGCAGGCCGTAGTAACCGGCAATTGCTTGTGTACTGGCATCACAGGCATCATGCTCGGGGGTGGCCATGGCTATCTACAGGGTCTCTTTGGTCTTCTGGCCGACCAGATTTTGGAAGCTCATGTCGTGCTGGCAGACGGCAGCTCGGTGATTGCCTCACAAAAGTCACACCCGAATTTATTGTGGGCGCTCAAAGGCGCTGGACACAATTTCGGCATTGTTACCCGCCTGAAGTACAGAATATACGACCGTGTCCCGGAGTGGTCGCAGTATGAGCTCAACTTTAAACCAAGACAAGCTCGAACACGTTTTCGAGCTATCCAACAACTTCCTCAGAGAAGATGGCCAGCCTCCACAACTCATCAACTGGTACAACTTCATGAGAAGGCCCGATATCGACTCGAATAGCGTGAGTCTTGATACGGCTTAACAACACTCATTTCGCCACCACAAGCTAATCCTACCCTACTTACTCAAGGCTGTTATCCAAATGAGGATGATCTACGCCGGGGATCTGTCGGGACTGGAGCAGTACGCAGCTCCCTTCCTCGCCCTCGGGCCCGCGAGCGTGGAGAACGTCACGGTACCTTACCCCGAGCTCTTCCGCATCAATCGCAGCGACGAGTCCAGCCAGGTGGTCTGCGGGAAGGGCATGTACCGACACCTGTTTCCCACCTATCTCAAGCGCCACAACACCACTGCTCTGCGGGAAGTTCACCGCATCTTCACCGACATGACGACCAAGTAGCCCGATGTCGCCTTCACGTCCGTCTATGTCATTGAGGGCTACTCCCACCAGGCAGTTACCTCCGTTCCCTCCCATAGCACGTCTATGCCACACCGAGAGTACCCGTTGCTTACGTAGGCGTTTCTATCATCAACAGCCTTCCTTTCCTTTCGGTTCTTTCCAGGCAGGCACAACTAATGCGACAATTTCATCAGCTCCCCAGTGTGGGGCTATACCAACCCGGCGTACTCAAACGACATCATCGCAGCATCCAAGGCGATGCGACAAGCAATGGTGGACGGCAGCGGATCGGAGCAACTCCACGCCTACGTCAACTATGCGTTTGGCGACGAGTCCCCGCCGGAGATGTATGGCTATGCGCCCTGGAGGATGCAGAAGCTGAGGGAGCTGAAGAAGAAGTATGACCCGAAGGGCAGATTCAACTTCTATGCTCCTATTGGAAAGCCGAGCGACTGAACCCAAGTACCTGTAGGTTGTTGAAGGGGATTGGCGCCTAAGGCCAGGCGACATTCGACGTAGACAGTACCTTTGCCAGGCGTCATCAACGTAAAGAAGATACATGTGTGCTGAGGACAACTAGTGGCACGGTTTGGGTGGGTGTCTTAGTACGAGTCAAATATAAGGTATATCTCGGTCTGGGAATATGATTTGCAACTAGCCTTGTCGTTCAACAAGCCCACTGTGGCCTAAGGTGGCAGCCTCCTCGAGCCTGTCGAAATTGACCGGTGGGGCAGTTAACGGTAACAGCACGACTTGACATTGAACTTGAGTGAAGGTTGTTGGTTGTCTTGACGCACCGCCTCACAGGGCCGCCTGCATAACGGCCAGCTGTTGGGCGGCCACTGCAGGGCAGAACAGCCACTCAAGTCTTGCTGCCGTTTGCATGCCGCCGCTGTGTAACTGCAATACAGCCTCCTCCAGATTATGACTGGACTCACTGGACAAACACTGCCCTCCTCCGCTGTAGGCCTCAGTTCTGCCGGCGCCCTACTTAAACCCGGTTTGTGTCCCCCACTGCCGGGCAATGGTCAGTTCACTTTCCCCTCAAACATAAAATCTAGTGCACATCAGTTTCACTCGATCTGCCGATGGCATCCAAATGGTCAAAGGGGTCCCACCTCTGGTATGCTAAGCGTGTCGCGGAGCCTCCTGAGGCCCCCCCTCCTCCCCTCGGTGACTTGATCCGAACATGGAGGGTGGAGGACCTTGATGATGAGGCTCGAACATATCAAGATCAAGCCCAGATTCGCAACCCACGCACCGTGAATTCGTTCAACTGGGTGGGCAAAAGAGGTGGTGACCCAACCATACTGATTCCAGGTACTTACGTGCCCCGTAGCACGGCATCGCCGGCGAGAGCCCCTAGCGCGGAGGATGTTAACTGACCAAACCACTCCTCTCCCAGGCAAACCACCCCAGTGGACGCCTCAAGCCCACCCCTCGCGCCTCAAGGAAGACAGTGGGCGGTCCTTCCGCGACAAGAATGCGGCTCGCTACCCAAAGCACCCGACCGAGCCCGCCGTCGTGGCCGCCCTCGCCGCAGATCCCACCATCCCGGCCGAGATTGATATGTTCGCCTGCGGAAGCACATTTGGCAACCTTTTGCGCTTCGTCCAGGGTCAGGACCGACCCTTCCGCATGCTCGTCTACAAGCTGCACACGACCGTCTTCCTAGTCCGGCGCGAGAACTCGCCGACCGAGCTGATCCCGGACGTCCGCGGGTACGGCCATGCCTTTCCCGAGGCCAACACCACCTGGGAAGCCGACGTCAGGGGCTCGGTCTCACATCAGCGCCTGGTCCGCTACGAGTTTGGTGGGCTGGACCTGGTCGTTCGTTTTGAGGCCGACGGCTACCTCAAGCCCGAGGTGCACAAGACTGATGGCAGAAGCCCCAAACATGAATTCAAACCCTCGACGACCTCTTCCTCCCAACATCAAAGCATCCTAAACGACCTGACGTCCTCCCTCTCCAGCACCACGATTACCCCCTTCCTCCCCAATAACAACACTAGCTCCATCATCAGCACTAGTACTCCTAGTACCAATAGCAAAACCCCCACAGACAAGATACCTCTTACCATAACCCGAGCCGGCGAGCTCATCCCCTCGACTTACCTATTCGACCTCAAAACCCGCAGCATCCGCACCCGCCAGAACGTCAAATCCCACCCCCTGACGGATCAACTCCCCCGGCTCTGGGTGTCGCAGATTCCGAATTTCATCCTCGCCTTCCATGCGTCAGGATTGTTTGAGCCAAAAGACACGGAAATTCGTGACGTGAGGGAGGACGTGGCGAGGTGGGAGAAAGAAAACGCAAAGGAACTGGCGAGGTTGGCGGTGCTTTTGCGTTGGGTGAGGAGGGAAGTTAGTAACAGTAGTCAAAATGATGATGGGCAAGTTGTTGAGATTTGTCACTGTTTAGGAGGAGGAGAAGGCGCTGCCGGGCAGGGGGTGTTGGAGGTGAGGAGGGCGGGTGGGGATGTGGGCACGGTGGTGAGTGATGCGGTCGGAGAGTGGTGGATGAATGCCGGGGGGGTTATCAACAAAGGCGGTGGAGGTGGTAGTAATGACGCTTGGCAGGGAAAGGGAGGCTGGAGCGAGGAAAAAGAGGGGGAAGGGGGATATGATGATGGCAAAGGGGTTGGAGCACGTAAGGGAAGCAGCGGTGATACTGTGGAGTGGGACGAGGGTGAAGATGACTTTACGGGTTGCGGCGTGGCTTGCGGATACTGCGGAAAATGCACATACTAGGGGAGGAAGGGTTTTATGGCTGAAAATCGCGGCAAGATAACTAACGTTAGAGCATTCACCAGCGATTATCCCACAGGCTGCATCCTTGATCACTAATACATTTTCCGGTCCGATTGTGAAAAAGACAAGAATCAGACAACTCATGACCCATGCACCAGGCCCCGTGACGTCCTTCACACTCGTTTCAAAGACAAATAACTAGATGAACGAGATTTCTGCTTTGACAAGGAATCCAGTCCGACAGCCAGTTTCAGTGGACTCGGACATCATGCGTTCCGATCATACCTTCTCCAATTTCCCAAACGATAACGACCCTATCTTTGTCTCGCTCGGCATGGTAGTCCTAGACGAGATTCGCTTCTCCAATGTTACAATCCTTTATGACATCGCGGGTGGCTCAGGCTTGTACAGTGGGTGTTCATGAACTAAACCTGGGTATTGCCGGGCAGCTTGCTTTCCTTATTCCGTTCAGGCACACTCGGCGCACGCATGACAGACATGGGAGCCGCGCACCACGAAAAGCTCGGCTGTCACATCCTCGCAGGGAGCGATTTTCCCGATTCCGTGGAACAGGTTATCAAGAGCTGGGGCATCGCCATCACAATCACAAGAGATCAATCCCTCCAGCCTGTCCACTCGAGGTCTCCTTGTGTATCCGAGGGATGGCTTCGGGGGTGAGATAGGAACTTTGGGAAGCAGTGCGACAGGGAACCGAAACTAACAGCTGTGCGCCTTATTAGAGAGAAAGTTCCGATATACCACCCCTCCGCTGCAACCGACTCCTGCTGGCCTCTGCGGCTCACCACTACTCCGGTCCAAATTTCATTTTCTGGCTTCTCCGGAGCTGACGGCCACGTTTGCAGCCGACCTCGCTGGGCTCCGTGCTTCGGCCGGAGCCGCCTCGCTGCCACTCATGGTCTGGGAGCAGCTCCATCTGAGCTGCAACCCGGGGACCCAAAATGAACATCTCCAGGCCGCCAAGTCTCTGGACATATACTCGCACAATCACCTCGAGTCTTGGCCTCGTTTGGCTCCGATGACGGTGGCGGGCCATCTCCGGAGTTTGACCACACAAAGATCAAGAACAGGTGCTCCGAGTCTTGGAATCCGGGTTGGGAAAACGTGGCGACGGCGCGTCGTGATCCGCTGCGGTGAGCACGGCTGCGTAATTGCCAGTCATTCATACTCTCTTCGATGGTCCCAGCATTCCACGAACCATGTCGTGTTGTGGATGCCACCGACGCGGGAAATGCATTTCTTGGGGGCTTCGCAGTCACTCTTAGCATTACGTCGGACCTTACCGAGGCCGCCATTGCTGGTTCTGTCGCTGCGAGTTCTGTCATTGAACAAAGTCGGGTTGCCTTAAAGATCAATTTCCCGCCACGGCATGGAGATGTGGACCGGAGAGACATTCTCAAGCCAAGGCTGAACCATCTCGTGCCATGCTCGAGACACCTGCCGATGGACGGGGCTACCCTGAAGTGATTGGGTAAATATCGAGGTTCCCGACGGGATCCAGTTCCTGTAGCGAATGTACCTAGGTAGATCTGGGAGTATCACAAGTCCAGATGTACTCCATTCAGCAGAGAGAAGCGAGGGCCACGAAATGTTAACTGATCTCGAGCCCAGCCATCAACTGGAGTTGAACCAACTCGTTCACAGCCATGGCATTTCGTCGGTTTCTTCATATGGTTCCCTTCGTCCATGCGCAGAGATACATGACGCTCAGAGGCCCAAATCCGCTTCCTCCATCCAATGCGAACCCCCAGCGCACCTCCACCCGCCTGCTTGCCGAATCCTGCCCAGCAAAGGTCAGCTACTATTTTATATCAAGCAGACATGTGATTGACAAATCCTGAGGCCAGGACAGCCAACACAGCCGCTCGCCCAAGATGAAAGAGGGACAGGACAAGCAGAGACAAAAGACAAACAGGCACGCGCCTGCGACGTACCATGCATACCCCATAGGGCAAACACCCATCTCCTCCAACCTCCGCCTCGCCTCCTCTTCCATTCGCCGGCGCCCCTCCTCTTCAAGCAATCGTGCGACAATCCTCTCTCTCGCCTCGTTCGTGGCTTGCTTGGCAGCTTGTTTGAGGCGCTGATACTCTGCCTCGCGCTCGTCTTGGGCCTGGCGGTCGAGCTGGAGCTGGGTCCAAACCTCGTCACTTACGCCTGCGTCGCGTATCGGGTGGCTGCTGTTGGTGTTGATGGGTGTCTGTGTTTTGGGCCGGATGACGGTTCTGAGGGCATTCGGGGCCTTGGTGTTGTCGCCATTGGAGGGAGAATCTTGCTTGTCTGGTTCAGTGTCAGGCTGGGTAGGCTGGGCTTGGGATGTGGAGGGCTGGGTTGAGAGCTGAGGAGGGTTGGAGAGGCCAAAGGGAAACTGCTGCGGGAGGATGTCGCGGAAGGCCGAAGGTTGAGAGGCGTTGGTGGTGGAACGCAAGGCGCGTTCTTTGAGCATGGCGGCGAGTTCGGCGGTGACGATACCCTCGGTCAGAGAGAGACAACCCTTGGCGAGGCCATCTTTGTCGCGGAGCATCTTGTTGAAGACCCCCCTCGCCAGGGCTTGGACATCCCGCGCGCTGGCCCAGTTGTGTTGCCCGGCGAGTTTTGCGAATTTCAGCAGCAAATCCTGCTTGAATCCTTCGGCAGGCGTCTCCAGGCAAGACAGGTCAAGGTCCTTGTTGCTCTTGGCTCTTAGCGAGTTCTTCTGCTTCTGCAGCAGCTGCAGCATAAGCGTTACACAGCCCTCGGCCGACAAGGGCCGGAAGTCCAGGACCTCGGGAAATCTAGAGGTCAAGCCCGCGTTGACAGACATGAGCCGGTTGATGTCTTTCTCGTACCCGGCCAAAATAATCACCAGCTTCTTGAAGTAGCGGTCCTTGGTGACTGAGTCGACAATCTCGTCCATGGCTTCCTTGGCAAAATGCCCCTCGGCCAGACGGTACGCTTCGTCGAGAAACAGGACCCTGCCAAGGGCTTTGTCGAGGAGCTGCTGCACCTTGGGGCCCGTCTGTCCTACATACTGGCCGATGAGGTCCGTGGCCGAACACTCGACCACCTCAGCAGAGGCGAGAAAACCCATGTCGTAAAAGACCTTGCCCATCTTCCTTGCTGTCATTGTCTTTCCTGTCCCGGGCGGACCTCGAAACAGAAAATTGAAGGGGATGTTTTCCTTGGGGTCCATGTTCAGCACCTTCATCGTCCGGACAGTGTCCTGGTATCCCTCGAGCAACGACACAATCTGCTCCGACCCAACAGTTCCCTCAAACAGCTTGCGGACGTTGGTTTCGGCCCTCTCATCACGGTCAAAATCTTCGTCAAAGTCTCGGGCTTCTAGGAATGTGGCCGATTTGGCTTGTCCCTTGGAGAAGCGTGTCTGGTGACGGGCTTTGGTGGCATCGAGGATGATGTCGATTTCCCCTGCGTTGCCAAAGCTGGGTCTGTTTCGCGCTCGCTTCAGCATCTCCATGGCAACGTTGGCGGCTTGATCGGTAACCTGGTATCCCTGCTGCTTGATTTTCATATCGAAGATCGTGCGCAGCTCCTCGTCGGTAAAGTCCACGAAGTAGAAGCCAGACGCAATGGGGAACCGTCGGCTCAGTCCGGGGTTGACGTTCTGGAACATCTCTTCCATCTGGTCTTTGTATCCCAGGAGGAGGACGCAGCGATCGTCACCTGGCACGCTTTGCACCTCTGCCACAATGGTGTCGATGACGGCCGTTTTGTAAGGGTCCGAGGTCGCGCCGCCCTCTGAGCCACCGCCGCTGTAGAGACCGTAGGCTTCGTCAATGACGAGGACTTTGCCAATGGTGGCGGCCAGAATGCCTTTGGTCTGCTGTTCTGACTGTCCAAGATGAGCGCCGACGAAGTCAGAGGGATTCTTGACCACAACTGCGGTCTGTTAGTGCCCAGTGCAACACGCGATGTCCTTGGATAGGGTAGGATATGAACCGGAAGCTCACCTTCGCCCTTGGACAGTAATCCAAGAGTTCCGAGTATCTCCCCATAGAGCTTCGCCACGGTGGTCTTCCCTGTACCAGGACTCCCAAGGAAGACCTTGTTTAGCGAGTACTGGATGGGAGGCTGCTCGTCGAGTTCTCGGAGGTAGTTCTGCTGGATGGTGTCGACGAGGGACCGGACCGCTTGCTTGACTGCCGCAAGCCCGCACAAACCCTGAAGTTTCTTCCAGGCCCCGCACTTGGCGAGAGCCTCCCCGGGCCCGGGTCCAATGAGGTCCTCTTTAGTGAAGAAGAGATTGTTAGGGTTGATCCCCCTCTTGCGCTCGCGTCGGAGCCGGTCCGCTTGCCTTCGTGACATTCTGTCCAAGGCGTTCTCAACTGCGCGGGCATTGCCAAAACCTTCTTTCCCGCGTCCGCGACCAATCCTTCTCGAGACAATTCGACAATACAGCCCACTCAACCCGTCTTCGCACTCCATGGCATGGTTGTACTTCTTGTTGATCTTGAGCTCGAGTATTCTGAGCAGCTCGTCGTCTGTATAGTCGGCAAATGTCATCTCGACAGGGAAGCGGCTGGGAAGGCCGGGGTTGTGGGCAAAGAAGCTCTCCATCTGCTTGTTGTATCCGGCCAGGACAAACACCACTCTGCCCCTGAGATTCTCCACCTCGGCAAGGATATAGTCGAGGACAGCTCCGCCGCCCGCGTTGTTACCCGAGGTTAGTTGATAAGCCTCATCAATGAAGAGAACGCCGCCTCCCTCATTCAATATTTCGTCGATCAGCTTCTTGCACCCGGCGACGCCCAGGTCGGCCAGTCCTGCTCCGGTATTCTCCTTGAAGCATGAGCCAGGAATCACGCAGAGCTCAGTGAGAAACTGGGCGTAGAGACGGGCCACCGTGGTTTTCCCTGGACACAAAGGTTAGCATGATTATGGGAAATGGTGCCTCAGGTTGGCTATGGGAGGAAGACGTACCGGTGCCGGGATTTCCCAACATGGAGCAGCTGAACCGCTCCGAGGCCATGGATATCCCCTGCCGCAACGCAGTGTCGACCTTGGACTTGACGGCGAGGAACTCCTCCTTGACCTTCTCAAGTCCGATCATCTCCATCAAGTCATCTACTGTCTTGCTCTTTGCACCCTCGAACTGCTTCAGGAAGTCCCATTCCGCCTGTGCTCCGCTGGACCTGTCGCCCTCCTTGGACGACGAAGGGGTCAGGTATTTGTTAGTCCGCGCCGTTGACTTAGATTTGGCGGCTTTGCCTGCAGCCTCTGCTTTAAGTTTGTTCTGATGCCGAAGTCTCTGCTCCGCATCTTTCAAGGCAATCAGCTCGGAGTGATGCTGCTCGAGGGTCTGCTTCCGCAGCTCCTCCTCGGCTTCGTACTTGTTAATGCGTCGCTGATGCTCAAGCTCATCCTGGATCTCCTTGAGTTGGCGCATGTATGCCTCCTCGCGCTGGCGGCGGTCCTCTTCGAGCTGCAGATCTCTCTTTGCCCTGCGCTCCATCTCCTTGTCCTCCTGGATACACTTGTGGCAGCCGTCTTTTTCTTTGCTGCAACTGACCCTGGTCTTGTGCTGTCTCTCGCATACCTTCTCGACCAGTAGGTCGCATTCCGTGCGGGAGTGGTCCACGACGCGGTGGCAGCGTGATTTGCACTTGTGGATGCCGCATTTTAGGGGCGCGTCACTGGTTGTTGAGGGTGTCAGTGAAGTGACCCGGGCACATAACTAGAAGTATGCCAACATACCATGGCCCAGTACAGCCCCCGTCAGGACAAAACTTGTCGAATGCCATCGGCTCCTTGAGCAATGCGGTCTTCTCCGGATGCTTGCCGCAGACGACAGGGAGACCATCATAAAGGTGTCCTCGAGCCTTAAGTAGGTCGAAGAATGGATGCCAAGTCGTCTCCCCCTTCTTGCTCCTCATGAAGGTGTCCATGTTGCCAATCAGCACGATGCAATTGCGTGCACGTGTGATGAGGACATTGAGCCGCTCCGGGGCGGACATGAACCCTATGTCACCAGACTTGTTGCTGCGCGTGAGCGAGGCAATCACGATGTCGCTCTCCTCGCCCTGGTAGTTGTCTTTGGAGCCAGTTAGCTTACTTCGATCCCTTGAGCGGCTAGAGGGCCAACAGACCTATGGTAGAGATACGGAGAGGCTTCTTGTCAAGCTTTGCTGCCGCTTCGCTCACCAAGCCGGCCCTGATCAACTCATTCTTGTCCATCTCACTCAAGGCAGGGTCGTGTTGGTTTTTGGAGAAGAGATCTCGCAAGAGCCGGAGCTGACCCAGGTACGGGGTCAAAACGACGATGCGGTCAGAAGCGTATCCTTGCTGGCCAAGGTACTTCACGCAGCGCAGCACCATCTGCGCCTCGAACAGATTCCTCTTGCTCTCCTTCATTGCGGGGTCGCGTCGGTCTGGGAGCTGTTTGTCCGAGTTCTCTTGCTTCCCATGGTTTAGGAAGATGACACGGTCCTGAAGGCCGGCGATTCTGGGTCTGCCGCTGGTGTTGGGCCCGTCAAGCAGATTGGGGTATGTAAGCTCGCGCGGAAAAACCGAAATACCGGGCACCATTCTGTGTTGCTTGTGCAGGGTTGCGTGGGGCGCTCCCTGCATAATGAGGCGTTCAAAGAGGGAGCGGTTGAGGTCGAAACCATCCCCTTTTTCGACGGACAGGGCATAATTGTTGATCCTGGGCCGGAGTTGTTTGTGGTCCCCGATCAAGACAAGTTGTTTGACGGATCCTGCAAGCGCCGTCAACACGTGGCTTTCGAGAATCTCTCCCGCCTCCTCAATCAGGATGACATCTGGGTTGGCTGCTCGGATTAGGCTGTCGTATTTGGCTGCTGCTGTCGTGGTGCACCCGATGATTTTCTTTTGGGCTAATATGCTGGCATCTCTGTCACTGAATTGGGCTTCGATCTTCTCCTGGGTTTGGTTGTACTGACGGCTGAGGTCCTCGATGCTCTGAAGGTGTTCCTCAATAAGAGCGGTCATCCAATTTTGGTGATGCTCGCATCGGACGGCGCGTGCCATGTCCCAAACGGGCTTTGCGGTGGCAGGAAGTTCTTTGGCGAACTGCCCCGGGCCATCACCCTTGATCCATTGCTGGTAAAGATATTCTGTGCGAACCTTCTTGCCTGCTTTCCCAGCCCGATTCCATCCCGGGCCACGGCTGTCGGTAGGGACGCGGAGCGCCTCAAGGAACGCATGACCACCTTCGGTGAACTCCAAATACTCGGAGATTTCGTCCCAAGCGGGGGAGAAGTCGATAAAGGCTTGTGAGGCCTCCCCGAGCTGAGATCCTGCACATGCAGCTTCCTGCTTCAAGGCGTCGATGATCTGCCAAGCATGCAGGGAGCGACGATGTTGGCAGTTTTGTGCTGACAGCAGCATGGGCGCCGTTTGGGGAGTACACTTGCTCCAAGACCCGAGGCGGACCATGGACGCGGCAGGAATCCCAGCTTCTAAGAGATCCTCCCCCATAAATTGATCCAGCGCATGGTTCGTGTAGCTCAAGACAAGAATCCGGAGATCGGCCTCGAACATGCAGCGGGCGATTTGTGCGCCGATGAAGGACTTGCCAGTCCCTGACGACAGCAAGTATCAGTCAGATATACAAGGGGAATGGGAGGGGTGGAGGATCGGGGTCTCATGGACATTAAATTCATACCTGGGGGGCCCTGGATCAGACTCACTGGACTCTTCAGGGCCAGGAGTAGAGCGGCAAGCTGAGAGTCGTCGATCTCGATCTTGCCAGTGGGCGTCACCAGTCGAACAACACCAGTAGGACCCAAGCTTTCCGCACTGCTCTCCAGTTTGGACACAAGCGGGACCAGTTTCCGCGGTACTTCAAACCCAGAATCGGCAACGGAGGGCGGATAGACAAGAAGGTCGAGCAATGGCACGTCAGCGATGCGTTGCAGCCCGCGGAGGACCGGCTCGTAGGCAAAGACGGGGGTGTCGACCAAGACGAATTGCACGGATTCACGGCCTGGGAGGCTCAGTGCAAGAAGGGTTCGTCGAAGTCCATTGTCATCGGCAAACTGGAGCGAAACGACGGGAGGCCACTGGGCTAGCTTGTCGACGTCTCGATCGACAAATGCAAACCCGAGGAGTTCATTTCCGCGGCGCATGACCCCGAACGTTTGGTGCCTCAGGAAGCTTGGTTGATCCCTCAGCAACTTTTTCCGGGCAGTCGGATCCATCTTCTCGAAGAAGTTGAGGCCTGCATAACATCCCAGCAGCAAGGCGCACCGCTTGTACCGGCCTGCCGTGTCGTTCCCAATGTCGATGCCGGTTGGAACGAATTGGCCCAGACTCAGCGCAGTCTGCTTCCCCTTCTTTTTACCAGTGGCAACCTGAATGTCTTCGCGAAGCTCGGCCAGCATGTCTTCTCTGAGAAGACGGAACTGGTTGTCGAGATGGGCGCGCGGCCGCTTGTCCACTTCGGTGTCGAGGATCTCACTGGCTGTCCGGTAGTAGGGCAACTGGGTTGACAGGAACTCATCACTGGTCGGATAGATGCGGATTCGGCGGAAGTCAGCGAAATCGTTGTCATGACGTCCGCCAGGGCCACCGGGCTCATCGCTCCCGCCTGGGGAGGACCGAATCAGAACGACTTTCTGGATCTTATATCCTAGCTCTCGAGTTGCGTGATCTTGGGCTTTGAGGAGCTGCTGATCGTCTGAGGCGGCCTTGACGAGACTTGCAACATCCACATGGGCCTCCGGGCGAAGCGAAAGGAGCTCGAGAACGAGCCAAGCAAAAGGGTAGAGGCTGTGGTCTGGAAGTTGGCGCGAGGTAAACAGGTTGGTGAGGGCATTCAGGACGGTTGGCGGGTGAGAAACCACTAGAATCGTCTGCTCGAGAAGTTGTCCGTCGACAAGTGCCTTGACTCTCGGGTCTGCAAGATAACGTAAAAAGGGGAGGATATGGGACAAGATGAACTGTGGGGACAGATCTGCCCTGACCGCATCTCTCATGGCAGCCATGCCTGAAGAGCTAGACACAAGAAGCTCAACGCATTGGCTCGGTGACGACTGGCACCGAACGGCCTCGAGGAAGAGCTGTGCATCCTGGGGACTGCAGACAGTGCGCTTTCCAGAGATCATGTCTCGAAACACACCATGGAGTCGGGCTGCTCGGCGGAGATCCTGTGATGAGGGCATGGTTCAGGTTTTCTTGGGCCCAAGGCGCTGCAAATATCGAGGAACAATAAGGGTTGACGTTTCGGGCTACGCACCAATGTGCGGATATGCCGTCTCTTGTACAAGCCACCTCCAGAGCGGTTGGCGTTGTGTGTATCAGTAGAAAATGCACAGAGCCTTGCCGATCAAAGACATGACTGCAAACGCAGCCTCGTTCTCCATATCGACGAATCAAGATGCAGCAGGCCTCAGCGCGTCATGCGTGAAGGATGCCTGAAGCCGCTGTTTCTGGTGACAACACCGACAAATGAGAAGTTGACTTGATGCAGGTGGCCGTGGCGGGCCTTTGGGGCTGGGCCAACAAGTTAAAGAAACTGAGCAAGGATAACGCACAAGGCCGAGTTGACAAGGCCAGTCAGACTGTAAAGGTTTTGCCAGTCTGCCGGTTCGGCGCTTCAAAGAACGCCTGGCCGAGCCAACAGCGGCCGGCTTCCGGCAACGAAACATCGTGACCAACCGATCCAACCATTGAGATTCCAATGACAGAAACAGCCGAGCCGACCAGCTTCAGCTTCTCTGGGTAAATAAGTGTTAAGAGAGATGCGGGGTGAAGAGCGATCTAGTAGTTATCCGGCCATCCTGACTTGACTCAATCGAGAGAAGCTCGCTGTTGAGCTCGCGAAAGATGCGAAGGGTCTCGGCAGCAGAGTGGCTACTGGCCAGGAATTGACGGACTACCAAAAGATGATGACAGCGATGACCGAGACAACTGGAGAGTCCGAGACAAAGTCATAGCTCAGCGGCGTTGAACGAGATAACTGAAAGCTGCAGAACCGCCAAACCACAATTGAAAGTAAACTGCAAAGGTGGGCTTTGATGTGAAATGCCACATAGCAATGCGATGACTATGGCTCTCCATCCCAGGGAGACCAAGTACAATACAGTACAATATATTGCTTAGCTAGCTTACACCAACTCTTGGCTCAGTTCTCCCCCTCATTATAATCCACAACACAAAAATAACCCCCATGCGCTTCAAAAGAGACAATCCCTGATTTCCTAGAAGAAGACGACAAGTGCCTGCAGAGCGACTCCAGCGACCACAGCTATCGACGAGCCGGCTACAACATTTCCAGCGCTCGGCGGCACAGTCGTACTCGTGATGGCAGTGCCTACCGCCCCACTACTACCGGCACCGCCCGTCAATGTCTGCGGCGCAGTCGTCAAGACGGTGGTGGAGCGCGTCCCGGCTGAAAGTGACCCAGCACCAGGCACTGTCGTCATGGTAGACGACAAGCCGTCGCCGGTGGTCGCGCTAGTAGCCGACTCGGAATCGTCCTGACTTGATGATGCTACTGTGCCAACAGAAGAAGAAGAGGAGGACACGCCCACTAGTCCTGTCGAAGTCGTCATCTCCTCATCCACAGTAGTACTGGCCGTGACGATGGTCGAGCTGAGGTACCCAGTCCAGCCAGGAGTCCAGCAGGGCATGTACGACGGCTCTGTCGGGCGCGTGAGGGTGCCTTTGTAGGCGGCGCATCCAGGGACGTTTGTCTTAACTGGGGCACGTCCGCCGCCGCAGTCGAGCGGGTCGCAAATCTCGCCCGTGTCCGGGTCGTACCAGTGCACGATTCGGTCCTCGCAGTAGCCAAAGGTATGTCCGCCTTCGCAGGCCGACAAGGCGGGCGTGGCGAGCATGAGCAGCGCCATCGCCGAGAGCACCAGTTTGGCCATTGCAAGTCGATGATTGAAGTCTAACGAGCGTGGTGTGATTGTCGATGGAGAAATGAAAGGACGCGTTGCGCGAACGAATTGAAGCAATGGATTCAGAAGACGGGCGTCGGGGGATTACCACTTTTATTTAGGAAACACTGCATAACGTTAACTATCTATGTTAACTTAACATAAATGCTGTTAATTAATGGATTTGATCCCTGAACCGTGACACCGTCACATCGCCGGAATGAAGGAAATTGGCAATTTCCCAACACGGTTGAACTTTTGCTTACTGCTTCAGGCAGGTGCTCGGTGCATCACGGCGGGAATGATCCATGAATCCTGATTATCCGTACTATGATTTTCTCCAAACCGAAGGTTTACCAAGTCTCGAATACGTTACTGATAATAAACATGGAAAAGACAAAAAACCCATCCACATCCCCTGGGTGGGGCTCAACTCTGCTAATGGCCTGCTAACATGCACAACGCTTTGCCAGTTCAGGACTCGAACCTGCCAATGGTCCGTTCTTCCAGTCCGACACACTCTTCCAGTAGGCATTTAGTCACCGAGCTGAAGAGCCTCCTGCATATCTTTCAAGGCACCGAACAGCTGGTTATCATGGTATCTTCTCGCCACAATCTGCAATGCAATCGGCGCCCCTTCAAAATCACCCTCGGCCCACATCTTCCTGACATGCTCGCATTCCTTACTCAGCGGCGCCTTGTTCGACGGGGCGTAGTCCTCATCACCCTTCTTCAACGCCGTGATGGGCGTCGGGAAGACGGCGGCAGGGTAGTCGACATAATTCCAGAAGGCCGTGTAGTTCCAGTAGAAAGCCGTATCGTGGGCGCATGCCGGGCCGACGAAGACGGGGCAGATGACGACGTCTACATCCTGTTCGGTCCAGTGGCTGGCGAAGTAGAATCGGAACCGGTCGCGGGCGAGCCGCTGTTGGTGCACCTCGGACGCCGTCAACTCAGGGCCCTCGGCATCCTTGATGATGTGTTTGGTCAGCGGGAACATGGGCTCTCCGGTCGCCTCGAGATGCTGCCTAGTGCCTTTTCCTCCGTCGGGCCAGTATGCCTTGCGTATGCGCTTGATGGCGTCTGCCGTGCGGTAAGGCATGAATGGCTTCACCTGGAAGCATGGGGAGAGTTGCAGCTGGGCCTTGGCCCACTCGAGAGCCCGAGTAACTGGCGGTTGTGGCTGGATGTGGCCGTCGTGCATCATGATGCCAACCTTGATTGGAGTGTTCTTCTCGACCTTGGTCGGGGTCGTCTTCTCGGCCTTGGTCGGGGTCTTCTTCTCGAGCTCAATGCGAAGCCTCTTCCAAGGGACAGGAACCAGTTGCGGGTCAGCGAGATACGGCCGCTCGTGGAGGAGGGCGAACATGAAGAAGTCCATGGCTTTCAACGTGGTGGACATTGGACCCGCCGATATGAGGATGTTGAGCTCTGCAGCGGCCCCTTCGTGGAGGAAGTCATGCATGGGCAGCATGCGCGAAGTCGGTTTGAACCCGTAGATGCCGCAGAAGCCAGAAGGTCCACGAATGCTGCCGCCAATGTCGGTGCCAATGCCCAACACCGAGCCACGCAGGGCGATCAAAGCAGCCTCTCCGCCGGTGGAACCGCCTGCAGAGAGGTTGATGTTGTAAGGATTCAGAACTCGGCCATAGGGTGAATCGGTCTCCAGGTGCATAAGTGACTGCGGCTGATGGGTCTTGCAGTAGAAGATGGCGCCCAGCTTCCGCAAAATGGCCACCATATGGCAGTCTTCGGTGTCCTTGACCCTGGTGTCAACGTATCCAGCCGCAGAATAATGACCAGCTAGGGGTATGTGCTCCTTCAAGCTGATGGGGATGCCGTGAAGGGGGCCAACTGTCCCGTCAGTTGAAGCCTGGTACTCATCCAGCTCCTTCGCGCGCTGGACGGCCTCGTCCATGAACCAGTCAACCAAGCAGCAGCTGACTTGGTGCGCAATGATGGCGCGCTTGGCGAAGGCCGTGACAACGGCGACCGCGGTGAGTTTTCGGATGCGGATGGCGTCTGCCAGAGACGAGGCATCGTACTTCTCGGTGATGTCGAGCTCTTCTTCAGTCATAATGCCACTCTGGCGCGCAATGCCGGTGACATCTTTGGGCGGGTTATCGACGAACTGCTGAGGGATATAATACTCCTCAGGCACCTTCTGAACGAAGTCGTTGACTATCGAGTCCTTCAATTTCACGAACTCGGGAGGCCCGTCGGCGACCGGGGCAGTCTGGATGAGGGGGAGCTTGAAACGTCGTGAACCCAACATGTCAATGTCGGGTCGCACTGACTTTCGAAGCCCAGAAATGGCGACGCTGTGGAGCGACACAAGAGAAACTGATTTGAAGGATAGGGAGAATGGTGCAGGCTGGTGGGTAGAAAGACTGGAAGAGCCAGACTTGAGCAGTTGCGCCGAGTGCCTAAGGCGTGGGAGAAACGGACGGACTGTCTATGTAGATTAGTATTCCGACTCCCTGCAAGCCCCCGAGCTTGTCCCACCCGACAGGCTGTGAAATGGGGAGTCACGCAGGGCCTCTGTCAGACAGGTGCTTTACTGAGAGTCAGGTCAGGTGGGGCGCAACTGGTGTGAATTCGTCCCATCGGAGAAGGAGCATCCTATCATTTTCGCCTACTTCTCCGCAACCGCCACCCACTGGCTTGCCGTCATCGTCACCTTCCCTCCCTGTACCTTCGTTCCAGGCTGCTTCTTCAACAACGCGGCAAGCATGTCCGCCTCCTCATCCCACTTCTCCCCATCCACCTCATGCCACCCACCAATCCCCGCCAAATATGTCTACCTTTCTTCATCACACTCCCTAATCTCCTCCCCCTCATCCAAATGATGCTCACCTCATGATCCTCGAGGCGAATGTTGCCGTCCTGAAACTCAACCTCGACCAGGACCTTCCTCAGCAGTTTCCCATCTGTCCAAGTTGCAGGCCGCGCAGGGAAGGGCGCCGTCTCGCCGGGGAACGCCTTGTGCACTAGCATTACAAGCAGCATCCACGTGATGGCCCTCCAGTAGTTCACGACGGCGAAGCCGCCCGGCTTGAAGGTGCGGTGCATCTCGCGGGCGGCGTCGAGCCCCGCGGACGACATGAATATGATGCCGACGTTCATGAAGTCGTAGTTGAAGAAGGCGTCGGCGAAAGTTGTTGGTTCTGATTTTTGGTTTGATACCTCGAGGGCCATCCGTTTTGCGCGGCGTCGTCTGCGAGGAGGTCGAGGAACGGCTGGTCGATATCGGTGGCGTGGATTTTCACGTCGGGAAACCGCTTTGCAGGAGGCGAGAGACGGTGCCCGCGCCGCAGGTGTTGTCGTGATAGTGGATCCAAGCTTGATGGTTGGCACGAGGGTTAAGTTGTGAGCGGCAAGTTTGGAGGTTACTTTCCCACCCGTGGACTCGTAGGTAGTGACCATCACTTACCGGTGAGAGAGGCGACGGCTTGTTTGAGGAGTGGTCTTGCGTTGAAGGCCATGGTCGAAGTTAGAGAGGTCGGTATAAGTAAGGTCCCTTAGTTAAGTACAGTACTAAATGCGTTTATAAACAAGTAGCGTCGACAGCAACTCGCGTATCATCGCCGTATTTATTTCGCTTCGCCGACCAATCGACCTTGAACCGGATGTATGTGGTGATAACTACGGAGACAGACTCTTTGTTCAGCTCAAGAGATAGCCTGAGTTCCTGCGCCGCGGTGTCCAGATCCTTCGCGATGCTTGGCCAGTCGCGGCTGGATACCATCCATTTGCACTCGGGTAATTTGACGCCTCCCGTGAGATATGGTGAAGGAGCAAACTCTGGTCTCCAGTACACTCGTCAAGCGTATTAACGATCAGGTGTATTCTCCGTAAGCATAGGTCTTCAAGAATGCTGGCGAAGATCATCGACAATGCTACCTATACAATCGGCCCTTCAAAGCGCTATTTTCCGATACTATCGTAGCTTCTGCGTAGGTGCGAAATGAGTGCTGGCTGCTGTGTCACAAGCGTGTAGATCAACCCACGCAGGACCGCTGTAGCGTTGTTGATGCGAGCGTCCTGTGGCCTGACAGAAGAAACATGAAATGTTTACCGTTGGCGCAGTGGTTTTGACCAATTCATCAATGTCACGGGTAGTGACAGTCTGAGGTTCATGTGCGCAACTCCTGGTTCGACTGGACAGTTCGAACCACGGTCCCTCTTTTGAGGGTGTTCCGCAGTGGTCAGTTGCGCCCACCAGTGACAATCAATTATTCCGCAGAGCAATATCATTTCACCTTTGCTAGGATCGCCTCTAATCCAGAGCAACTGGCCGTCTCTATCGTCCTGCCATCGTTGGAAACCGACATTGTTGAGGACCCAGTGGTACAAGTCTCTGAGAAGGCCACCCTTATCCCGCTCGATACGAACTTTGTCGTCGCGGGGATCGGTCACTCCTAAGTTTCTTAAGCACTTGTTATCCCTCTCGCTAAATAATGTATGATCGTGGCCATAATCTAGCATATATCAGGATCAGCACGATTAATGAAGACAGGAATAATAGATAGAAGGCGTGAATACTAAGATTCACTTTTCCGAGCTAACTCTAGGCCGCGCTTGACTTCCGCAGCGACATTCTTCAAAGCTAGCCGGCACGCAGGACTATCGTCTCGAACTTGCAAATAGCGCTATGATCAGCGTCCATGGCCACCTGCTTCTCAACCAACACCGGGAGATTCAGCGTTAACTTACGGAATTCTATCGACAATCTGACGAAATTGGCGAAGTCTCTCCCTCTTAGATTCTCGAATAGACGTACGATGCCTGTTTTATAGTACGACTCCCCCTCGAAGAAGCTAACGACAAGATATCTCTCAAAAAGGTAGCGGGCTTGTTCAAATCGTTGTGTCGCCTCATTTGAGCTCTGCTTGAGTGCGGTCACAAGGTCATTAGCACGCGTTCCCAAAGCCGTAGTGAATATTTTGGCTACGACGTCGCCGACACTGGCGTACTTCCCGCCTCGATACGATAACGTTATAGCAAAGAAGACGAGAAGGCATGTTGCTTCGAATATTGACTTTCAACTTCGTTTCGAAGAGTGCCTATCCACGGGTATTAGAGGAATTCCGTATGTTGGCTAAGCCTACTACTCACTTGTTTTACAATCGGGCCGCCAAGGCTATGGCATATACGCACTATTGGCCTCTGCGTGTAACGGGCTGGGCCCGGTGCGAGCCTCGGCGACTCTCGGCCAATACCAAGACCCCTGATGAGGCTATTCCCACTCGCCCCACAGCACACCGAA